GTGACCGACAGACATGCATGCAAGAAAATTTCATTTACTTTTTTTTATACGTCATCATCATACACATTCATACGTTGTAAAACACGTTAGACAAACTATCCTAAACAAAGAAATTTTATTAAAAAAAAATTTACACACTTGAATTTGTTAAAACTAGACACAAAAACAACAAAAAAAATCGCACACAACACAATTTATAGTAATAAAAAACCAAACCCTATAGGGAGTAAAACAGGATTACGTATAAAATTTGATATTATAGGATATAGCAGCTATATAGCTATAGTAGTCTGTCTATATACAACATACTTTCTATATGTATATTTTCAATATTTTCTTTCTTTTTTTTTTCGACCAACAATGCCACAGAAAAGGATGTTATTTCATAACACTTTTTGCAAAAAATTAAATTTTACTTTAATTTTAATTTTTCATCTTTAAATATAAAAATTTTATAACAATTTTACTTTAATTCTTTTTATTTTAAAAACACAATTTTTTTGCTAAATTTTCTTTTTTATTAATTTTTGTTTAAGAAATTTTCATTTTTTTTTTTTTTTTTAATTTTCTTTGTAGCGCAAAACACTTTTTAAACACCGTGTTCCATTTTGTTAATTATTTTGTCAACCGTCAAGTTAAAGTTACCGTTAAAGACTAAAGAAAAAATTTGCTTGCTCAACAGCAAAAAAAAAAAACAAACAAAAGTGGTTCTTTACTTTTAAAGGTGGTGAATTTCGTTTATTGATTTTTATAGTTTTGTTGTCTGCTCTGGTTTTTTGTTTTGCTCCTCTCTCTTGACATTTACATATGTTCCTTTATACTAGTTGTTGTCATGCTTTACTGTTGTTGTTTTGTTCTAGAATGCCGGTTTTGAGCAGTTTGTTTTGTTTGTACATTTGCTTTGCTAGGGCAGAGTGAAATGTCAACTAGAAAAAGGATAATAAGGGTGGTAAAACTAAAGTTTAACAGTTAATTGCTAAACTTAAAGCTAAGACAACTAACTACCTTTAAGGTTTTATAGTAAAGACAACAACCTTGAGAGTAATTTAGGGAAATTTTTCGAAAAAGTACAAAACTTTGGAAAGCAAATTCGAATAGAAATTACAGAAGATTCAATGTTCGAAAAATGTTTCAAAAACTGCTGTCGCTTACAAAATTTTCTAAAGAAAAAATTGTCGCTTACAAGATTTTCTATAAAAAAATGTTAACACTTACAATATTTCTATAGAAAATGTTGTCGCTTACAATATTTTCTATTAAAAGAGTTGACGCTTACATAGAAAATGTTGTCGTTTACAAGATTTTCTATAAAAAATGTTGACGCTTACAGGATTTCGGGACAAAATAGTATCGCTTACAATATTTTTTATTAAAAAAAGTTGTCGCTTACATAGAAAATTTTGTCGCTTGCAAGATTTTCTTTAGGAAATGTTGTCGCTTGCAAGATTTTCTTTAAATGTTGTCGCTTGCAAGATTTTCTATAAAAAATGTTAACGCTTACAAGATTTCGGGACAAAATAGTGTCGCTTACAATATTTTTTATTAAAAAAGTTGTCGCTTACATAGAAAATTTTGTCGCTTACACGATTTTCTTTAGAAAATGTTGTAGCTTACAAGATTTTCTCTAGAAAATGTTGTCCCTTGCACGATTTTCTATAAAAAATGTTGACGTTTACAAGATTTCTGTAGAAAATGTTGTCGCCTACAATATTTTCTATTAAAAAAGTTGTCGCTTACATAGAAAATTTTGTCGCTTACACGATTTTCTTTAGAAAATGTTGTAGCTTACAAGATTTTCTCTAGAAAATGTCGCTTGCACGATTTTCTATAAAAAATATTGACGTTTACAAGATTTCTGTGAAAAATGTTGTCGCTTACAATATTTTTTATTAAAAAAGTTGTCGCTTACATAGAAAATTTTGTCGCTTACAAGATTTTCTTTAGAAAATGTCGCTTACAAGATTTTCTATAAATAATGTTGACGCTTACAAAATGTCTGTAAAAAATGTCGCTTACAATATTTTTTATTAAAAGAGTTGTCGCTTACATAGAAATTTTTGTCGCTTACGCCATTTTCTTCAGATAATGTTGTCGCTTACAAGATTTTCTTTAGGAAATGTCTGTTACAAGATTTTCTCTGAAAAATGTTGTCGCTTACCAGATTTTCTCTTTTCACTTACAAAATTTTTATAGAAAATGTTGTCGCTTACAAGATTTTCTTTAGAAAATATTGTCGCTTACAAGTATTTATATAGAAAATGTTGTCTCTTACAGGATTTTCTATAGAAAATGTTGTCGCTTAAGAGATTTTCTTTATATAATGTCGCTTACAAGATTTTTTATAGAAAATGTTATCGCCTACAAGACTTTCTTCAGAAAATGTTGTCGCTTACAAAATTCTCTTTAGTAAATGTTGTCAATTACAAGATTTTCTTTAGAAAATGTTAACGCTTACAAGATATTCTTCTGAAAATATTGTTGCTTACAAGAATTTCTTTAGAAAATGTTGTCGCCTACAAGTTTTTAAGAAAATGTCGCTTACAAGATTTTCTTCAGAAAATATTGTTGCTTACCAGATTTTTATAGAAAAGGTTTCGCTCACAAGTTTTTCTTTAGTCTCTTACAGGATTTTCTATAGAAAATGTTGCCTCTTAAAGGATTTTCTATAGAAAATTTTGTCGCTTACATGATTTTCTATAGAAAATACTGTCGCTAAAAAGATTTTCTTTATAAAATGTCGCTTACACGATTTTCTTTAGATAATGTTGTCGCTTACAAGATTTTCTTTAGAAAATGTTGTCGCTCACAAGATTTTCTATAAAAAATGTTGACGCTTACAAGATTTTGGGACAAAATAGTGTCGCTTACAATATTTTTTATTAAAAAAGTTGTCGCTTACATAGAAAATTTTGTCGCTTACACGATTTTCTTTAGATAATGTTGTCGCTTACAAGATTTTCTTTAAGAAATGTTGTCGCTTGCAAGATTTTCTATAAAAAATGTTAACGCTTACAAGATTTCGGGACAAAATAGTGTCGCTTACAATATTTTTTATTAAAAAAGTTGTCGCTTACACGATTTTCTTTAGAAAATCTTGTAGCTTTCAAGATTTTCTCTAGAAAATGTTGTCGCTTGCACGATTTTCTATAAAAAATATTGACGTTTACAAGATTTCTGTGAAAAATGTTGTCGCTTACAATATTTTTTATTAAAAAAGTTGTCGCTTACATAGAAAATTTTGTCACTTACAAGATTTTCTTTAGAAAATGTCGCTTACAAGATTTTCTATAAATAATGTTGACGCTTACAAAATGTCTGTAAAAAATGTCGCTTACAATATTTTTTATTAAAAGAGTTGTCGCTTACATAGAAATTGTTGTCGCTTACGCCATTTTCATCAGATAATGTTGTCGCTTACAAGATTTTCTTTAGGAAATGTCTGTTACAAGATTTTCTCTGAAAAATGTTGTCGCTTACCAGATTTTCTCTTTTCACTTACAAAATTTTTATAGAAAATGTTGTCGCTTACAAGATTTTCTTTAGAAAATATTGTCGCTTACAAGTATTTATATAGAAAATGTTGTCTCTTACAGGATTTTCTATAGAAAATGTTGTCGCTTAAGAGATTTTCTTTATATAATGTCGCTTACAAGATTTTTTATAGAAAATGTTATCGCCTACAAGACTTTCTTCAGAAAATGTTGTCGCTTACAAAATTCTCTTTAGCAAATGTTGTCAATTACAAGATTTTCTTTAGAAAATGTTAACGCTTACAAGATATTCTTCTGAAAATATTGTTGCTTACAAGAATTTCTTTAGAAAATGTTGTCGCCTACAAGTTTTTAAGAAAATGTCGCTTACAAGATTTTCTTCAGAAAATATTGTTGCTTACCAGATTTTTATAGAAAAGGTTTCGCTCACAAGTTTTTCTTTAGTCTCTTACAGGATTTTCTATAGAAAATGTTGCCTCTTAAAGGATTTTCTATAGAAAATTTTGTCGCTTACATGATTTTCTATAGAAAATACTGTCGCTAAAAAGATTTTCTTTATAAAATGTCGCTTACAAGATCTTCATTCTTTAGAAAATGTTGTCGCTTACAAGATGTTATACAGAAAATGTTGTCGCTTACAAGATTTTCGTTAGTAAATGTAGTCAATTACAAGATTTTCTTCAGAAAATATTGTTGCTTACAAGATTTTCTTTAGAAAATGTTGTCGCTTACACGTTTTCAAGAAAATGATTTTCTATAGAAAATGTCTCTTACAAGATTTTCTATTGAAAATCTTCTCGTATACATGACTTTCTATAGGAAAGGAAGTCTTTTCGCTTTCAAGATTTTCTATAGCTAATGTTGTCGCTTACAATATATTATATGGAAAATGTTGTCGCTTACAAGCCTTTCCACTGTTGTCTCTTACAAGATTTTGTTTAGAATTTTTTCTTCAGAAAATGTTGTCGCTTATAATATTTTCTATAGAAAATGTTGTCGCTAACAAGATTTTCTATAGAAAATGTGGTCGCTTACAAGATTTTCTATAGAAAATGTTGTCGCTTACAAGATTTTCTATAGAAAATATTGTCGCCTACAAGATTTTCCATAGAAAATGTTGTCGCTAACGAGATTTTCTATAGAAAATGTTGTCGCTTATAAGATTTTGCATAGAAAATATTGTCGCTTGCAAGATTTTCTATAAAATATTTTTCCGCTTATAAGATTTTCCCTGGAAAATGTCGCTAAGATTTTCTATAGAAAATGTCGCTTACAAATTTTTCTTTAGAAAATGTCGCTTGCAAGTTTTTCTTTAGAAAATGTTGTCGCTTAAAAGATTTGCTATAAAAAAACTTATCGCTTACACGATTTCTTGTAGAATATCTCGTCGCTTCTATGGAATATATTGTCGCTCAAAAGAAAATCTATAAAAATGGTTGTCGCTTACAAAAAAAAAATTTTGTCGCCCATAAAATTTTCTGAAATTTAAATAAAATTTCGCATTTTTTAAGGATTATTTATTGTTTTATATAAAAAAAACAATTATTTATTTGTATCAAAAAAAATTAAGGATTTAATGTAACTTCATTTACATTTCATTTTACAAGTTGCTAAACTTTTCATTTTTTATACATCTTTTAGACATAAAAAAATACTATCAAATCATTTGAATACTAATAATAATGATCTTGATGTACGTATTAAAAATTTGTTAGTTTCAAAATAATTTAAAAACATCTAATAAAATAAAGGAGGTTAGTAAATAATAAAAGGAACTCGTTTTTGTTTAAAAGGGTTTAGATAACGAATTTGTTTTTTTTAGAAAAAGAATGTCAATTCATGAGTTTTGTTTGGGGTAAAAAAATAAGGAATGAGAGAATAAAGTTAATAATAAAATAGGTATTATGTACGTATGAATGTATGTTTATGGTAGTAATAAAATTGTGAAAACAAATAATGAAAACCAGTTCATTATTTAGAAATACTTAAAAACTAATTGAAAAAATGAAAATCAAAATTTGTGAAGCAAATGAAAGAGAGAGTAAAGTGAAATGATTTCAATTCCACTCTTCCTCTTCTTCCAAGGCACTGGGACCAGAGGAGGTAACAAAGTTATCATCAGTCTAAAAAGAGATACGAAGCAAGGCAATAAGGGAAATAAATTGGAGTGAAAAAAAAAACAAACAATAAAAAAATTTTGATAACAAATTTTCCAACACTTACCTGTGGCACACCCTTTCGCACATCTCGTCCACCAAATTTACTGCCATAACTACCACCGCCTCCACCACCACCGCTAAAGTTCTTAAGGAAATCTGGCACTTCTTGGCCAGCACCTTCTAAAATATTAACCAAATCTGCAGCAATGGCTGAATCACTTTCTGGATCAAAGAAACTAGTGGCGCGACCATTATTGCCTACACGTCCTGTACGGCCAATACGATGCACATACTCATCAATGGAGGAGGGCATATCATAGTTGACTACATGATTAACATTTTTAATATCAAGACCGCGGGCTGCTACGGAGGTGGCTATTAAAACTTTCATTTTGCCATTTTTGAAATCAGCCAAAGCCATTTCACGTTGACTTTGTAAACGATCGCCATGTATAGAAGTCGTAGGGAATTCGGTTTCCGATAGCAGAGAAGCAAGGAAATCTGCACCACGTTTGGTCTCCACAAATACTATTGTACCATCGGGATTTTCTTGTAGGAGTTCCTTAAAAAATTAAAGAAGAACATTTTGAGACAAAAACTTACATAAAAAATTTAAATTGGGACAAAATTTTGTAAAGAAAATTTAGTTTGGGACACATTTTTCTATAAAAAATCTTGTTTGGGACAAAATTTTGTAAAGAAAATCTAGTTTGGGACAAAAATTTCTATAGAAAATCAAGTTTGGGACAAAATTTTCTATAGAAAATCAAGTTTAGGACAAAACTTTCCATAGAAAATCAAGTTTGGGACAAAAATTTCTATAGAAATTCTTGTTTTGGAAAAAAAATTTACAGAAAATCTCGTTTGGTACAAAATTTTTTATAGAAAATCTAGTTTGGGACAAAATTTTCTATAGAAAATATAATTTGGGACAAAATTTTCTATAGAAAATCTAGTTTGGGACAAAATTTTCTATAGAAAATCTAGTTTGGGACAACATTTTCTATAGAAAATCTCGTTTGGGACAAATTTTCTATAGAAAATCTAGTTTGGGACAACATTTTCTATAGAAAATCTAGTTTGGGACATTTTCTATAGAAGATCTAGTTTGGGACAACATTTTCTTGTTTGGGACAAAAATTTCTACAGAAAATCTTGTTTGGGACAAAATTTTCTATAGAAAATCAAGTTTGGGACAAATTTTTTTATAGAAAATCTTGTTTGGGACAAAATTTTTTTATATAAAATCTTGTTTGGGACAAAATTTTCTATAGAAATCTAGTTTAGGATAAAATTTTCTATAGAAAATGTTGTTTGGGGCAAAATTTTTTATAGAAAATCTTGCTTAGGACAAATTTTTTTATAGAAAATTTCGTTTGGGACAAAATTTTCTATAGAAAATCAAGTTTGGGACAAAATTTTCCATAGAAAATCAAGTTTGGGACAAATTTTTCTATAGAAAATCTTGTTTGGGACAAAATTTTTTATAGAAAATTTCGTTTGGGACAAAATTTTCTATAGAAAATCTAGTTTGGGAAAACATTTTCTATAGAAAATCTAGTTTGGGACAACATTTTCTATAGAAAATCTTGTTTGGGACAAAAATTTCTGTAGAAACATCTTGTTTGGGACAAAAACCTATAGCCTTGTCTATAGTCCAGACTATAGCATTGTCTATAGTCGAGACTATATATAGCATTGTCTATAGTCCAGACTATAACATTGTCTATAGTCTAGACTATAAAATTGTCTATAGTCCAGACTATAAAATTGTCTATAGTCCAGACTATAGCATTGTCTACAGTCCAGACTATAGCTTTGTCTATAGTCCAGACTATAGCATTGTCTACAGTCCAGACTATAGCTTTGTCTATAGTCCAGACTATAGCCTCGTCTACAAACCACACTACAACTTTGTATATATTCTACTTTGGAACATTTTTATGAGAAACTTCAAATCAGTATAAAAATGTACTCACCATCAACTTGGAACGTTTCTGAAACTTTTTCACTTCATAGATATTTTGTGTAACATCTGAACATGCTCCGCCCACAACACCAATCGATATGAAAATATATTCATTTAGATATTCACCAGCCATACGTTGAATTTCGGCTGGGAATGTGGCAGAGAACATAAGATTTTGACGCTCTTCCATGGGACGCATTGTAGGATGATTCATGATCGTGGCCATACTCTCTTTGAAACCCATATCCAACATACGATCCGCCTCATCTAAGACAACAAAACGTGTGTCTTCAAATGTTATGAAACCTTTTTCCACAAAGTCTAACAAACGTCCAGGAGTGCAAATTAAAATATGACTACCACCGCGTCCAATATTTTCACCCTGATGTTTGGATGAAGTGCCACCGTAAACAATGCGTATATTCAAATAGGAGCCCATGGCAAATTTGCGGGCTTCATTGAATATTTGTATGGCCAATTCGCGTGTGGGTGATACTATTAGAGCATGAGGTTTACCAATCGAAGTCTCAGCTCCTTCACTCAATAAACTATTAATGATGGGCAAAAGAAAAGCGGCCGTTTTGCCAGAACCGGTCTGGGCACAAGCCATTAAATCGCGACCAGCTGTTATAACGGGTATGGCTGTTTTTTGTATGGGCGTGGGTATTTTATAACCGGAACGTTTAATGTTGTTTATGACAATATCACGCAAATTTGCCTCTTCAAAGGTTTGTATCGAAGCAGGAGCATTTTCACCGGTGACCTTTTCAAATTGAAAAATAAAAAAAGATTAATTACAAAAGTAATTTAGAAATTATTTCTCAACACAACTTACCTTTACGGGTATACTGTCATATTTGGAGAAATTAATACCACTAGTAATACCAGTACCGAAAATTTCTTCTTCATTATCTGTGGGTTCGGGTGGTATATAGAATTCACGTGGCTTTTTAGGTTCATCACCCTCACCGCCGTCTCCACCACCACCGCTATTATTGTGTTCATCACTTTCTCCTTTATTGTTATTAAATTCTCTACGTCCACCATCTCTACCACCACCGCCACGACCACCGCCGCGGCCACGTCCGCCACCAAAGCCACCACGACGTTCTCCTCCACCATAGCCTAATATAGGTAAAGGAAACAATTTCAAAGATGGCGGGCATACAGTTGTAAAAGTTTACAATGCCAAAGGTCATAATATTGTATTAGTAGTTCAGCAATGACACGCAAATTTTTTAGAAATAATGAAACTATTATCAGTTCTAGTTCAGTTTTTGTTCTAGTTCTGTTCTATTCCAGTTATGTTCTAGTTCTGCTCCAGTTCTGTTCCAGTTCAGTTCTAGTTCAGTTCCAGTTCCAGTTCAGTTCTAGTGCTGTTTTGGTTCTGTTCTAGTTCAGTTCTAGTTCAGTTCTAGTTCAGTTCTAGTTCAGTTCTAGTTCAGTTCTAGTTCAGTTTTAGTTCTGTTCTAGTTCAGTTCTAGTTCAGTTCTAGTTCAGTTCTAGTTCAGTTCTAGTTCAGTTCTAGTTCAGTTCTAGTTCAGTTCTAGTTCAGTTCTAGTTCAGTTCTAGTTCAGTTCTAGTTCAGTTCTAGTTCAGTTCTAGTTCAGTTCTAGTTCAATTCTAGTTCAATTCTAGTTCAGTTCTAGTTCAGTTCAGTTCTAGTTCAGTTCTAGTTCAGTTCTAGTTCAGTTCTAGTTCAGTTCTAGTTCAGTTCTAGTTCAGTACTAGTTCAGTTCTAGTTCAGTTCTAGTTCAGTTCTAGTTCAGTTCTAGTTCAGTTCTAGTTCAGTTCTAGTTCAGTTCTAGTTCTGTTCTAGTTCTGTTCTAGTTCTGTTCTAGTTCTGTTCTAGTTCTGTTCTAGTTCTGTTCTAGTTCTGTTCTAGTTCTGTTCTAGTTCTGTTCTAGTTCAGTTCTAGTTCAGTTCTAGTTCTGTTCTAGTTCTGTTCTAGTTCTAGTTCAGTTCTAGTTCTGTTCTAGTTCTGTTCTAGTTCTGTTCTAGTTCTGTTCTAGTTCTGTTCTAGTTCTGTTCTAGTTCTGTTCTTGTTCTAGTTCTTGTTCTATTTCTGTTCTAGGTCTGTTCTAGTTCTGTTCTAGGTCTGTTCTAGTTCTGTTCTAGTTCTGTTCTAGTTCTTTTCTAGTTCTGTTCTAGTTCTGTTCTAGTTCTGTTCTAGTTCTGTTCTAGTTCTGTTCTAGTTCTGTTCTAGTTCTGTTCTAGTTCTGTTCTAGTTCTGTTCTAGTTCTGTTCTAGTTCTGTTCTAGTTCTGTTCTAGGTCTGTTCTAGGTCTGTTCTAGTTCTGTTCTAGTTCTGTTCTAGTTCTGTTCTAGTTCTGTTCTAGTTCTGTTCTAGTTCTGTTCTAGTTCTGTTCTAGTTCTGTTCTAGTTCTGTTCTAGTTCTGTTCTAGTTCTGTTCTAGTTCTGTTCTGTTCTAGTTCTGTTCTAGTTCTGTTCTAGTTCTGTTCTAGTTCTGTTCTAGTTCTGTTCTAGTTCTGTTCTAGTTCTGTTCTAGTTCTGTTCTAGTTCTGTTCTAGTTCTGTTCTAGTTCTGTTCTAGTTCTGTTCTAGTTCTTGTTCTAGTTCTGTTCTAGTTCTGTTCTAGTTCTGTTCTAGTTCTGTTCTAGTTCTGTTCTAGTTCTGTTCTAGTTCTGTTCTAGTTCTGTTCTAGTTCTGTTCTAGTTCTGTTCTAGTTCTGTTCTAGTTCTGTTCTAGTTCTGTTCTAGTTCTGTTCTAGTTCTGTTCTAGTTCTGTTCTAGTTCTAGTTCTGTTCTAGTTCTGTTCTAGTTCTGTTCTAGTTCTGTTCTAGTTCTGTTCTAGTTCTGTTCTAGTTCTGTTCTAGTTCTGTTCTAGTTCTGTTCTAGTTCTGTTCTAGTTCTGTTCTAGTTCTGTTCTAGTTCTGTTCTAGTTCTGTTCTAGTTCTGTTTAGTTCTGTTCTAGTTCTGTTCTAGTTCTGTTCTAGTTCTGTTCTAGTTCTGTTCTAGTTCTGTTCTAGTTCTGTTCTAGTTCTGTTCTAGTTCTGTTCTAGTTCTGTTCTAGTTCTGTTCTAGTTCTGTTCTAGTTCTGTTCTAGTTCTGTTCTAGTTCTGTTCTAGTTCTGTTCTAGTTCTGTTCTAGTTCTGTTCTAGTTCTGTTCTAGTTCTGTTCTAGTTCTGTTCTAGTTCTGTTCTTGTTCTGTTCTAGTTCTGTTCTAGTTCTGTTCTAGTTCTGTTCTAGTTCTGTTCTAGTTCTGTTCTAGTTTCTGTTCTAGTTCTGTTCTAGTTCTGTTCTAGTTCTGTTCTAGTTCTGTTCTAGTTCTGTTCTAGTTCTGTTCTAGTTCTGTTCTAGTTCTGTTCTAGTTCTGTTCTAGTTCTGGTGAAGTTCGGTTGAATTTCTGTTGTAGTTCTATTCTACTTCTAGTTCATTTCATTTCTAGTTTCAGTTTTAGTTCAGTTCATTTTGAAGTTTTAAAGAATTTGATTATTTTGTATTTATAATCACTTTTAAAAGTTTTATTTACATATAAAAAACAAGAAATTTTAAAAAATATTTTCAGAAAAAAATATAAATTAGGGTAGCATTCGATAACGATCAAAATCTTCTTTTAAATTCTATTGAAATTTGATCGAAATCTTAAGACTTACTTTGTCCCCAGTTAAAAACATATTAGAAATTCTAACATAAAACATAAAAAAGAAATAATTGCATAAATAATTAAATCTGGGGAGCAAATTGCAACATTCGATATGATTGGACTCCATTTGAATTCTCTTAAAATTTGAGCAATATCGAATGCATTAATTTGTCCCCAATTAAAAGAAATCTTAAAAATACAAATAAAACACATAAAAATTTCATAACAAATTAACGAAAACTATTAAAAAAACAAATTAAAGACTTTACACTTAAAACATTAACGCAACGATACCGTGCGACCATCACTACTTAAATTTACAATACCAGCCGATTTCAATTCCAACAAAAAAGCAAATCCTATAGCTGCTGTCATACGATCTTTAATACAATCACATTTAGTAAAATCGAACGAAACCTGACGTATAATATTTTGCATTAAGCCCAGTTTAATAGATAAACGTTCGCGGGAAGCATTTAAGAGAACATTAGGATCATAATGATGACATGGTTGATTAAAAGTGCCAGCATTTAATCTTGCTTGCAAACCACGACGATGATTATCCAACATAATACGACAACTGTCTAGATTATCCATGACTGTCGTAATATTATCAGCATTTTCTAGAATAAATTGATCATATTGTTGTTGAGGCGAATAAATTGAAGGTGGAGGTGGAGCATCAGCCTCCATACTATTTGCTGAAATTGTAGTTATATTTAGATTTTGTGCTGGAGACTTAGTTGTTGTTGTTAACGGTGGTAATATACCAGCTAAAGTTTGTTGTAATAGAATACTAGTGGGAGGGTCAGCTGTATGTTGTTCCTCAAGTACTTGTTCTTCATGATGATGTAGATTTTGGAGTTCTCTTGCTCTACGTAGATTTCGTCGACGTTTAGGTTTACGCTGTGGCGTTGTAGTGTTTTCATAGTTGGCATTTTGCAAACGTGCTCTTAATATTTCATACCAATCTCGGCGATAATCGTCATTTATTGGAAGTATCATTTCTTGAGGTTGTTCATGAGTTGGTATTATAACTGGATTATGGTTATCCTGTTGTTGCATTATTTGATCTGGCATAGTGGAGACGGGTCTTATATTACTCTCCATGACTTGATTTTGTATTGAAGGCCTTAAAATGCTTTCACGTACTTCTATTATAGGTTGCAATTGTTGTTGTTGTAGCTGTACATCAGCAATACTTGGCTCTTCTGTTGTCGTGTTCGCCACTTCAGCCTGAATTGATGTTTGCGGATTTTTGGTCGGTGGCGTTGGCAGTGCCGTCAAGGGAGTAGAAGTATCTAATGTGCGGCTTTGAAAACGTGATTTAAAATGCTGTTCCTCCTCACTAGTATCTACCGTTGTAGATTGCGCTAAGTTAGATGATGGTACCATGGGCGTTTTAAATATACCAGTATCCCCAGATACCATTTCGCTTGATGGTACTAGTTCTTGTCCTCGTCTTGTAATGGTATGGTGACCAGAGTCAATATGGGATAATGATGGATTTGGCAAGACAAGAGGAGTATCAGTTGTTATTAGACTTGGTGTGGGAAATTGTATACCACTATCTGTGGTAATATGCTGTGCTTCAATAGGTAATAAGGTTATGCTTTCATTGGTAGCAGCGATGGGTGGTTGTTCCAGTCGCTGTGCTTGTTGAGGGCTTTCTCTATTTTTGGAAAGACATTGTTTGTAAGGAAACTTAAAAGTTGGAGACAATCTTGCAGAAGTAATGGATAAAAACGAGTTTAAGTTATATTACAACAACAAAAATTGCGACATTCTGTTCTAGTTCTGTTCTAATTCTGTTCTAGTTCAGTTCTAGTTTAGTTCAAGTTCAGTTCTAGTTCAGTTCTAGTTCAGTTCTAGTTCAGTTCTAGTTCTGTTCTAGTTCTGTTCTAGTTCTGTTCTAGTTCTGTTCTAGTTCTGTTCTAGTTCTGTTCTAGTTCTGTTCTAGTTCTGTTCTAGTTCTGTTCTAGTTCTGCTCTAGTTCTGTTCTAATTCTGCTCTAATTCTGTTCTAGTTCTGTTCTAGTTCTGTTCTAGTTCTGTTCTAGTTCTGTTCTAGTTCTGTTCTAGTTCTGTTCTAGTTCTGTTCTAGTTCTGTTCTAGTTCTGTTCTAGTTCTGTTCTAGTTCTGTTCTAGTTCTGTTCTAGTTCTGTTCTAGTTCTGTTCTAGTTCTGTTCTAGTTCTGTTCTAGTTCTGTTCTAGTTCAGTTCTAGTTCTGTTCTAGTTCCGTTCTAGTTCCGTTCTAGTTCTGTTCTAGTTCTGTTCTAGTTCTGTTCTAGTTCTGTTCTAGTTCTGTTCTAGTTCTGTTCTGTTCTATTCTAGTTCTGTTCTAGTTCTGTTCTAGTTCTGTTCTAGTTCTGTTCTAGTTCTGTTCTAGTTCTGTTCTAGTTCTGTTCTAGTTCTGTTCTAGTTCTGTTCTAGTTCTGTTCTAGTTCTGTTCTGTTCTGTTCTAGTTCTGTTCTTCTGTTCTAGTTCTGTTCTAGTTCTGTTCTGTTCTAGTTCTGTTCTAGTTCTGTTCTAGTTCTGTTCTAGTTCTGTTCTAGTTCTGTTCTAGTTCTGTTCTGTTCTGTTCTGTTCTGTGTTCTGTTCTAGTTCTGTTCTAGTTCTGTTCTAGTTCTGTTCTGTTCTTCTAGTTCTGTTCTAGTTCTGTTCTAGTTCTGTTCTGTTCTGTTCTAGTTCTGTTCTTGTTCTGTTCTAGTTCTGTTCTAGTACTGTTCTAGTTCTGTTCCAGTTCTTTACTAGTTCTGTTCTAATTTTGGTCTAGTTCTGTTCTAGTTCAGTTCTAGTTCTGTTCTGGTTCTGTTCTAGTTCTGTTCTAGTTCTGTTCTAGTTCAGTTCTAGTTCTGTTCTGGTTCTGTTCTAGTTCTGTTCTAGTTCTGTTCTAGTTCTGTTCTAGTTCTGTTCTAGTTCTGTTCTAGTTCTGTTCTAGTTCTGTTCTAGTTCTGTTCTAGTTCTGATCTAGTTCTGTTCTAGTTCTGTTCTAGTTATGTTCTAGTTCTGTTATAGTTCTGTTCTAGTTCTGTTCTAGTTCTGTTCTAGTTCTGTTCTAGTTCTGTTCTAGTTCTGTTCTAGTTCTGTTCTAGTTCTGTTCTAGTTCTGTTCTAGTTATGTTCTAGTTCTGTTCTAGTTCTGTTCTAGTTCTGTTCTAGTTCTGTTCTAGTTCTGTTCTAGTTCTGTTCTAGTTCTGTTCTAGTTCTGTTCTAGTTCTGTTCTAGTTCTGTTCTAGTTCTGTTCTAGTTCTGTTCTAGTTCTGTTCTAGTTCTGTTCTAGTTCTGTTCTAGTTCTGTTCTAGTTCTGTTCTAGTTCTGTTCTAGTTCTGTTCTAGTTCTGTTCTGTTCTAGTTCTGTTCTGTTCTGTTCTGTTCTGTTCTGTTCTGTTCTAGTTCTGTTCTGTTCTAGTTCTGTTCTAGTTCTGTTCTAGTTCTGTTCTAGTTCTGTTCTAGTTCTGTTCTAGTTCTGTTCTAGTTCTGTTCTAGTTCTGTTCTAGTTCTGTTCTAGTTCTGTTCTAGTTCTGTTCTAGTTCTGTTCTAGTTCTGTTCTAGTTCTGTTCTAGTTCTGTTCTAGTTCTGTTCTAGTTCTGTTCTAGTTCTGTTCTAGTTTTGTTCTAGTTCTGTTCTAGTTCTGTTCTAGTTCTGATCTTGTTCTGATCTAGTTCTGTTCTAGTTCTGTTCTAGTTCTGTCCTAGTTCTGTTTCTGTTCTAGTTCTGTTCTAGTTCTGTTCTAATTCTGTTCTAGTTCTGTTCTAGTTCTGTTCTAGTTCTGTTCTAGTTCTGTTCTAGTTCTGTTCTCGTTCTGTTCTAGTTCAGTTCTAGCTCTGTTCTAGTTCTGTAAGAGCGGACTTAGATGTTGTAGAGCATGAGGGGACGGAAAATCAATTAAAGTATCTTCAAAATTTCTACATATAAAGGTCTACTTCAAAGTGGGGGTAGGACCAATATTTTAAACGTCACTTAAACTTGTTTTTATCCAAGAGCGTAAAAAATGCAAAGTGAAGACAATACCCCGACGTTGCTGCTGCAGCGATGGCTGCTAAAGATGAACCAGAATCAATGCTCACATTAGCAGCAACTGCTTCCATGCCTGGTGACATTTCTTGAGGTATAGCACGACTATGTTCCTCTTCGGCAATACGTGATACAGCAGCTGGCGGTAAAGGTCTACCAAATGAAGACAGTTCCATCATGGAAGAAGGAGCCTGACGTACAACGTTTAAACTAGAAAAATTATCACCACCCATAGTGGTAGTAGTAGTTGCTCCCAAACCCGATGTGGTTAGTTGAGGTAGTTGTGTTGGTACAAGAGTATTAACTGCTTGTAATTGATCGCCAGACAGAAAATATTCCTCTTCAATTAATGACATATCCATGGGAAAATAGGAAAATGTTGAGGTTTCAATGTTATATCTTGCATGAGGCAATTCTCTAATTTCTAAACATGTTCTGCGAGGTAAACGAAAGCGTAAACTATATTCTTCTTCGGTTATAAAAGTGCGTGGTGGTCTTGTTCGTGATCTTGAGGTTGTTGTCGTTATAGGATCTTGAACACGCGGAGTTGTTGAGGAAGTTTGTGATCTTAAATTGTAACGTGAACTTGCAGAATTTCGTGGTGTTAGAGTTTGTCTTTGTAAATCTTGTTGTAGCCTTTCATTTCGACGTTGGTTTATATCCCTCTGGGTTGCTTCAGTTGAAGAGAGAGCAGTAAATTGTTGATCTTGTTGACCTGGTTGAATCCTTAATAAAGGCAGTTGTAAATCATCTGAACTACTTAACGGTTCATTTTCAAATAAATCGGAAATATTCATGATTGGCATTTGCGGTGGAAGTGGTGGTGGTGTTAATAAGGTTATAGTATCTTGGAAATCATGCATACTATCCTGCATTGCAAAGGATTGATCTAAATTTAAATAGTTTTGCAAATCTTTTTGGAAAATGTCCATTAAATCTATATTATCACTTTGTGGAGAGTAAATTTCTGGTAAATTTCCATTTTCCACTTCACCAAACTCCTCATTAGCTGATCGTACAGCTGTTGGTTCTAGATCTTCAGCTAAAACTCTTGTCATCTGTGCTACATTTCGATCTTTTGTACGAGTTTTTTTAAGTGTCGCTTTAAGTTTTTGTTGTTTTCGTTCTAGCGTTTTATTAAGTACTCTTTCATAGGCCTCCATTAAGTATTTGATTAAAGTATATTTTTGTAACAGATTTGCTTTACGTAATAATTCTGACATATTCTGCATAAAGCAGTGTAAAGTTTCTTGTTGAAAATCTTTAGGTATTAATGTAAATATAGGATTTTTATATGGCTCATGATTAGATGATAAATGAGCTAAAATATAACGTTTGTTTGAAAATGACAAATACACAGCACATAAAACATAATGAAAATAGACCAGAGAGAAGAAAAAAAGAAGACACAATATCCAAAAAACCAATCACTAACGAGTTAATAACTATAAATGTTTTATAGCATTATGACAATAACAATAATGATGTTTGCATGCATAAGAGAGTACATTTTTTGTAAGGTTTTAAATAGGAAAAATCACTTACCATTGTTTTCTCCGTCATTGTCATCATTGCCATCGTTGTCTCTGTTATATCGGTTAAAACCATTTCCTCCATTGCGACCTGGAAATTAGAATTAGAACAGAATTAGTATGGTACAATAATTGCAATTTCACATAAAATTAAAAGCTAGACAAAAGACTAGACTAGAGACTCTAGTAGAGTCTATAGTCTAGTCGATAGTCTAGTCTATAGTCTGGTCTATAGTCTAGTCTATAGACTAGACTAGTCTAGTCTGAAGTCTAGTCTGTAGTCTAGTCTATAGTCTAGTCTATGGTCCAGTCTATAGTCTAGTCTAGTCTATAGTCTAGTCTATAGTCTAGGCTATAGTCAAGGCTATAGTCTAGTCTATAGTCTAGTCTATAGTCTAGTCTATAGTCTAGTCTATAGTCTAGTCTATAGTCTAGTCTATAGACTAGTCTATAGTCTAGTCTATAGTCTAGTCTATAGTCTAGTATATAGTCTAGTCTATAGTCTAGTGTATAGTCTAGTCTATAGTCTAGTCTATAGTCTAGTCTATAGTCTAGTCTATAGTCTAGTTCTATAGTCTAGTCTATAGTCTAGTCTATAGTCTAGTCTATAGTCTAGTCTATAGTCTAGTCTATAGTCTAGTCTATAGTCTAGTCTATAGTCTAGTCTATAGTCTAGTCTATAGTCTAGTCTATAGTCTAGTCTATAGTCTAGTCTGTAGTTTAGTCTATAGTATAGTCTATAGTCTAGTCTATAATCTAGTCTATAATCTAGTCTATAGTCTAGTCTCTAGTCTAGTCTATAGTCTAGTCTATAGTCTAGTCTATAGTCTAGTCTATAGTCTAGTCTATAGTCTAGTCTATAGTCTAGTCTGCAGTCTAGTCTATAGTCTAGTCTATAGTCTAGTCTATAATCTAGTCTATAGTCTAGTCTCTAGTCTAGTCTATAGTCTAGTCTATAGTCTAGTCTATAGTCTAGTCTATAGTCTAGTCTATAGTCTAGTCTAAAGTCTAGTCTATAGTCTAGTCTATAGTCTAGTCTGTAGTTTAGTCTATAGTCTAGTCTATAGTCTAGTCTATAGTCTAGTCTATAGTCTAGTCTATAGTCTAGTCTATAATCTAGTCTATAGTCCAGTCTATAGTCTAGTCTATAGTCTAGTCTAGTCTATAGTCTAGTCTATAGTCTAGTCTATAGTCTAGTCTATAGTCTAGTCTATAGTCTAGTCTATAGTCTAGTCTATAGTCTAGTCTATAGTCTAGTCTATAGTCTAGTCTATAGTCTAGTCTGTAGTTTAGTCTATAGTCTAGTCTATAGTCTAGTCTACAGTCTAGTCTATAGTCTAGTCTATAGTCTAGTCTATAGTCTAGTATATAGTCTAGTATATAGTCTAGTCTATAGTCTAGTATATAGTCTAGTCTAGTATATAGTCTAGTCTAGTCTATAGTCAAGTCTATAGTCTAGTCTAGTCTATAGTCTAGTCTAGTCTATAGTCTAGTATATAGTCTAGTCTATAGTCTAGTCTATAGTCTAGTCTATAGTCTAGTCCAGCGGTTCCCACCGTTTTTTACTTCGCGGACCCCTTGAGGAACTTATTTAACTTCACGGACCCCCATACATATTTTGATATCTTATTGTTATAAATAATTGTTCATCCGAAAATTGTCTTAGTCCTGGTCCATAAACCCTATAAAATATTCCCGTACATTGAGAATAATTAGTATTGCGGAGATGTTTTCAATTGCATGGTTTTAAATATAGAATGACTTCTAACATGATGTTTAATTTTATGATCGTGAGAGCTTTCATGTTCATTTCTCGTCAAGGTAGCGAAAAGGTTTCTTTATCAAGTATTGTCGACATGTCTGAAAGAGTCATGTTTCTAAATTTTTTTGCGATTGCATAGGAGTGAGCTGAGTATGTAAGCTAAGTTTTCGGGAAAATATGTGAAAGTTAGACTTCTTCGATGTTGTTGCGGAATGCGTTACCCACATAAAATTTGACCTGAACTTTTCGCGAATGTATTGTGAATTTGGATCTTAAATTTGAATTTAAAAAAACCTACGAATTATTTTAGCGCGTGGTTTTGACTATTTACGCAAAACGCTATGAATTTTCTGATGTTGATTTAATAATATTGGACAGCAAAATGAACTGTGTATCACGTCGGAATGGAATATTTATATTTAAAATTAACTAGATTAACACTTTTGCTTACAATTTAAAAAAAATATTATGAAATGTGTCCTAACTTCATATTCCGGGATTCCAGTATCAGTATTTAATTTCGATACATATACATTTATAAAAATTACAAATCACGTAATACTTTACTTTATAAATGTGAAACAATAGATTTGTAGGGCCTAGCTTCATACTGATAAACGACCGAAACAATAAAATTCAAAAAGTCACCAACAAATCTGGGATTATTGAATAAAAATTGTGCATTTTAGTATTTATGAAAAATTTGGAGATATTTTTAATATTTTCTAACATATAGAGAATATTTTTTATTCATGATTTTTTTTTCGTTCGTCTTCGCGGACCCCCTAGGATTTTGCTACGGACCACTAGGGGTCCGCGGACCCCCTTTTGGGAACCGTTGGTCTAGTCTATAGTCTGTCTGTCTATCTATCTATCTATCTATCTACATATAACTTTCAATCTAGAGTTCAATTATATTTTGAACTCAACAAAGACAAAAATATCGTTTGCCACTTGTTTTAGGTTTTATATAAATAAACAATTATTCATAGATATAAATATCTTCTTATAAAACTATGGTTTTGCAAATATTTTTAAAATCTAAAGCTAAATACAATTTTACTGATAATGCTTTAAACATGGTCTTTTGAAATTGTCAATACCACCCTATACTAATCGATACACTTTGAAGTTTCTTTTCAGCATAACAGCTGTTTACTTTGTAACAAGAAAAAACAAAGGCCAAAGTGATAAAACATTCTAAAAAGGGGAAGTACCACTTAATGTATACTTCATTGTAGAAATATATTCGCTAACAGATCATAAACTTAACATTTCTCCATATTACTCAGCTTTAAAAATTATAACAAATTAAACTTACCTCCTCCTCGACCGCCTCCATTACGTCCTCGGCCGCCACCACCACCGCCATTGAAACGTTTCTTATAACCACCATCATCATTATTGTTTTCATCGTCTTCATTTTGATAGTCATCATCATGGTTGGACTTGTAGTTGTCATTATTGTTGCCAAATCCTTTACCAATTACCTTAGAAATAAAAAAATGATTTAATAATTTTGAATCCTAACATTCTATTGTACAGAATTTCACTTACTTCGGTAGTCTCTTCATCACCCCAATCAGACATTTTGTTAAATGGATCTTGTTTTCTGGTATTTCCTGATGATTTAACTTTGTATTTTGCTACTGAAGGCTTTTTATATACTTGGGAACGTTGTGTTGTTGTATTTGCAGATTTTGTTGCTTTTAAAGCTGCTGGTAATCTTCGATTTGTGTTTGCTTTAGGTTCAGGCTTTTTATCTTTAGCACTAGAACAGTTCTGCTGCTGCTGTTGCTGTTCGGTTTTAGACTTTCCTTTGGGAATTTTATCTTCAACAGTAATGTTATGCTGCAACTGCTGTTGCTTGGGTTTAGTGTCCTCTTTCGTAGAATTTTCTGTCTTTGCTGGCAAATTACGTGTTGTGCTAGGTTTGTTGTCAAGTTTCTCAACTTCACTAGAGGAATTCTCCTGCTGCTTAGAGTTTTCTTTAGCTGCTCTAGCCGCTCTTATAACTGCTGGTAATTTGCGTACTTTAGTTGCAGGTTTTTTATCTTCTACAGATTTCCTTTGCTGTTGCGGCTTGGAGTTTTCTATCGAAGAATTTTCAAAAACTAAAGTAGAAATTTGTGGAACATTATTTGATTGTCTATATGAAGCCATGTTTATTTGTAGATTATTTTAAATGTCAGTTTGCGTTTTATTTTGTATGATATGTGTGTGTTCATTAAAATTGCAAAATTAACTAAAGTAATTTTAGTTCGAAAATTGTTTAAGAAGCCGCAAATATGAATGTTTATTTATTTTTTCATATTACGTTATGTTACTGTCATTCGTAATAATAAAAGCGAAAACAAAGGAAATTTTAAAAATAAACCAAGGTTTGGTTCACACATGTTTGACATTTGCTGTCATGTTATTAAAAAAGGCAATAGGAATTACCCTTTTGTTATGGTTCAGGGTAGAAGAAAAAGGTTTTAAAGAATGTCCTCGAAAATAATTTCAGTTTTAAAATGTTTATTGTTAATTAAACAGGTAGTGGGGTGGTAGCAGATATTTGAAATATTTTGAATGCAAACATTTTTAGGAATTGAAGATTATTTGTAAACAGTTTGGTGGTAGGAGCTTTATTGCACTCAAAATAAACAATAGAATAAGATAGAGGTTTAAGGACCCCGCCTAGTCCTTGAATCATTAGATTTCAGATCCTGAAATATGAGAGATCAGAGTCCTCGACTATATACTATGCTATAGACTAGACCACAAAATAGACTAGACTAGACTAGACTAGACTATAGACCAGGCTATAGACTAAACTTTAGACTTGACCACACTATAGCCTAGAATTTAGACTTGACTAGACTATGGACTCGACTATAGACTAGACTATAGACTAGACTAAAGACAAGACTATAGACAAGACTATAGACTAGACTATAGTCTAGACTATAGACTAGACTATAGACTACACAATAGACTAGACCATAGACTAGACTATACACTAGACTATAGACTAGACTATAGACTAGACTGTAGACTAGACTATAGACTAGACTATAGACTAGACTATAGACTAGACTATAGACTAGACTATGGACTAGACTATACACTAGACTATAGACTAGACTATAGACTAGACTATAGACTAGACTATAGACTAGACTATAGACTAGACTATAGACTAGACTATAGACTAGACTATAGACTAGACTATAGACTAGACTAGACTAGACTATAGACTAGACTATAGACTAGACTATAGACTAGACTATAGACTAGACTATAGACTAGACTATAGACTAGACTATAGACTAGACTATAGACTAGACTATAGACTAGACTATAGACTAGACTATAGACTAGACTATAGACTAGACTATAGACTAGACTATAGACTAGACTATAGACTAGACTATAGACTAGACTATAGACTAGACTATAGACTAGACTATAGACTAGACTATAGACTAGACTATAGACTAGACTATAGACTAGACTATAGACTAGACTATAGACTAGACTATAGACTAGACTATAGACTAGACTATAGACTAGACTAGACTATAGACTAGACTATAGACTAGACTATAGACTAGACTATGGACTAGACTATACACTAGACTATAGACTAGACTATAACTAGACCATAGACTAGACTATACACTAGACTATAGACTAGACTATAGACTAGACTATAGACTAGACTATAGACTAGACTATAGACTAGACTATAGACTAGACTATAGACTAGACTATAGACTAGACTATAGACTAGACTATAGAACTAGACTATAGACTAGACTATAGACTAGACTATAGACTAGACTATAGACTAGACTATAGACTAGACTATAGACTAGACTATAGACTAGACTATAGACTAGACTATAGACTAGACTATAGACTAGACTATAGACTACTATAGACTAGACTATAGACTAGACTATAGACTAGACTATAGACTAGACTATAGACTAGACTATAGACTAGACTATAGACTCTAGAGATAGACTAGACTCTAGACTAGACTATAGACTAGACTATAGACTAGACTATAGACTAGACTATAGACTAGACTATAGATAGACTATAGACTAGACTATAGACTAGACTATAGACTAGACTATAGACTAGACTATAGACTAGACTATAGACTAGACTATAGACTAGACTATAGACTAGACTATAGACTAGACTATAGACTAGACTATAGACTAGACTATAGACTAGACTATAGACTAGACTATAGACTAGACTATAGACTAGACTATAGACTAGACTATAGACTAGACTATAGACTAGACTACAGACTAGACTATAGACGAGACTATAGACTAGACTATAGACTACACTATAGACTAGACTATAGACTAGACTATAGACTAGACTATAGACTAGACTATAGACTAGACTATAGACTAGACTATAGACTAGACTATAGACTAGACGATAGACTAGACTATAGACTAGACTATAGACTAGACTATAGACTAGACTATAGACTAGACTATAGACTAGACTATGGACTAGACTATGGACTAGACTATAGACTAGACTATAGACTAGACTATAGACTAGACTATAGACTAGACTATGGACTAGACTATAGACTAGACTATAGACTAGACTACAGACTAGAATATATACTAGATTAGACTATTGATCAGAATATAGACAAGACTATACTACAGACTAGACCATAGACTAGACTATAGACTAGACTATAGACTAAACTATAGACTAGACTATAGACTAGACTATAGACAGGACTATAGGCTATACTAGACTATAGACTATACTAGAATATAGACTATACCAGACTATAGACTATACTAGAATAGACTTTAGACTAGACTATAGACTAGACTATAAACTATACATACTAAAACTAGACTATAAACTATACATACTATAAACTAGACTATAAACTATACTATAAACTAGACTAGACTGTACTAGACTATGGACTAAACTATAGACAAAACTTTAGATTATAGATTAGACTATAGGCTAGAGTATAGACTAGACTATAAACTACACTATATACAAAGTCATCAAAATCTGATGATCTTTTTCATAAAAAATTGTATTTTTTATAGGAAAAATTATCATAATCTTATAATCTTTTCCATAGAATAAGTCTTCAGAATCATTTGGATCTGTAGATCCTTTCTAACGATATTTTCGAAAGAAGAAGTACAGAATCCAAATAAGTTTTCCGTATAAGAACACATCAAAGTGTGATGATCCTTCTCTTGAAAAAGTCATTAGAATCTAATGATCTTTTTTTCTATTAAAAATCATTAAAGTCTGATAATCTTTTCGCTAGAAAACCTTTTCAGACTCTGTCGAGGTTTCAGATTCTGATGACTTTTTCATCAGATTCTGATGTAATTTTCAATAACAACGATCATCAGATTCTGATGACATATTTATGGAAAAATTTCAGATTCTGATGACTTTTTTATGTAAAAGATCATTAGATTCCGATGACCATTTCTATGGAAAAGATCATCAGATTCCGATGACTTTTTTATAGAAAAGATCATCATATTCCGAAGACTTTTTTCTATAGAAAAGATCATCAGATTCTCATGACTTTTTCTATGGCAAAAAAAGATCATCAAGTTCTGATTGCTTTTTCTATGGAAAAGATCACCAGATTCTGATGGCTTTTTTATGGAAAAGATCACCAAATTCTGATTACTTTTTCTTTGGAAAATATCATCAGATTCTGATGACTTTTTTATAGAAACGATCATCAGATTCCGAAGACTTTTTCTATGGAAAATATCATCAGATTCCGATGACTTTTTCTATGGAAAAGATCATCAGATTCCGATGACTATTTTATAGAAAAGATCATCATATTCCGAAGACTTTTTCTATAGCAAAAATCATCATATTCCGAAGACTTTTTCTATAGCAAAGATCATCAGATTCCGAAGACTTTTTCTATGCCAAAGATCATCAGATTTTGATGGCTTTTTCTATGGAAATGATCACCAAATTCAGATTTGGAAAATATCAGATTCTGATGGCTTTTTCTATGGGAAATATCAACAGATTCGTATGACTTTCTCTATGGAAAAGATCATCAGATTCTGATGACTTTTTCCATGGTAAAGATCATCCAGATTCTGATCACTTTTTCAATGGAAAAGATCATTAGATTCTGATGACTTTTTCTATGGAAAAGATCATTAGATTCTGATGACTTTTATCATGGCAAAGATATTAATTTCTAATTAAATTTTATCAGTTTTTTAGAGAATCTTGTTGGAAGATTCTTCCATTGATTTATATTATTTAAAACCAATTAGAATAACAATTTGCTTCAATATAATGCCAACTAAACACAGCTCTAGGAAAACATTTAGTGGATGTTTTTACTTGAAATGCTTAGGAAACACAGCGCTACAGAGAGACAACAGCGCCAGCCCCCCCCAAAAAGCTAAAGAAACATGGTTGTTTTCCAAGTAGTATATTTATATTTCGTATACATGGAAACATAAAACAAAGAATAATATAGAAAATAAGTCCAACTGTCAAAGTGGGGGTACTGACTATAGAGAAAAACACACAGCGAAAAATAGAAAAAGAGAGAAATTTTCAATACATACTCATAGTACGAAAATATACTATACACAGCGCCAGAGATTATTGTACATTTTATTTGTATTTATACTCTTTTATCATCATATTGTTCAATTCCTCCTATTATTCCAATCGTCCAATCAACCATCCACATCCATCCAACTCTATGCCATCCATCCATATTCGTATTTGATATGTGTATACCATGCTTTTTTTCAATGATGGGCATGTGTTCTAAGATTTAAAAAGACTTGACTGAGAGAGTGTGTGTGTGTGTGTGTGTGCAGAAGAAGAACGCAAAAAATAAAATACCAAAATTAAGGTTAACATTAAATATATTGCAGTCCGCTAAAAGATTTTGGGTGCAAAACTTTACAATACAGAAGGAAAAAATTTTTATAGAGGAGTGAATTAACAATTCAATAAAAAAAAAATAAAAAGAAATAAATAAAAAATAAATTTTTCAAAAACAAAATAATGGATTCAGCTGGGAAAAATCGTTATGAACTTTTGTTCATGGACGATGATATTAGTGATCCATTAGATAATATTGTTGCCAAGAAGAAAAAGCAGGTTAAGACTGCTGCTGCTGGTGGCGCTGCGGGCGCAACTGGAGCCGCCGCCAATGGTGCCAAGACAACGAACAAACCAGCCAACACTAATCAAGTGAAGAAAACCAATCAGGCTGAAAAGGAAAATAAACCCTTGAACAAGAATGATAATAAGAAAACCGTGGCAGCAGGTGCTGCTGATAGATTCAATAAACAAGGTGGGGCTGCTGCTGCTGGTGGTGCTGCTGGTGGCGCCAATCGTAAACGCAATAACGGTGAGACACGTGAAGGTGGTCAAGGGCAACAACGTAATGTCAACTTTAGACAACAGAATGGTGAAACACGTGAACAACGCAATAACCGTCGTAATGCACGTGATACTGGTCAAGTTGGAGGAGGTGCAGGTTCAGCTGCTGCCGGTGAACGTCCCCCTTTCAGAGGTGGTGATCGTGCTGATCGTCCACCACGCAATCGTAATTTCGAAGGCGGTAATCGTAAACGTGAATTTGATCGTCAATCGGGTTCTGATAAAACTGGTAAGTAGTTCAGTTATGGTTAATGTTAAAAGACAAGAGAACAACACCTCATGCTAACAAAGTCACAATAATTAGTTAAATTCTCCTAAAGTTGAAATTTTAAAGGGGTTTTAGTTGTAGTTTTGTTTTTATGCTTTTAAAATAATTTTTATAAAAGTTGAATTTAATCAAAAAACCTTTAACAAAACCTTAAAATCGAAACGCACAAAAACATATGGTCCTAGTACTTATTTTCAAGTGAAGAAGATAAGAAAAGCAACAACAACAATAGCTAAAAAGCAAAAATAAATAAAAAACCTCAAGAAGTGGGGTTAATAACATGCTGTATGATCACTATAGAGACGCAATATTTAACATACAACCCTGTCCCCTCTACTCCCAACAGAACAGAACCAACAACCCATTTCAAAAGGCTTTCAATGCGCGGGAGGCAATAAAAAGTATAGAAATAACTTCTATCTATTAAGAATCTAGTATAAATATTGTCAAAAATATTCTATTTATTATTTGTCTATTCATAATTTATTTCAAATTAAAAGAAAAAATTTTAAAAAAATGTGATCGGCAAATATAATTTTAACTAGAAGAAGACAAGAATATACACATAGTCACCGTCAGAGTCCAATAATATAAACGTATTTAATACATGTGTTTTAAAAATAGTTTAACAAAAACATTTACTCTCTCTCGATCTTTTTTTATTAAAACACTCTCTTGAGCAGTGTTGCAAATTTGACGATTTACCCGTCAAATCTGATGTATAGTGTAGTCTACAGTCCAGTGTATGGTCTAGTATATGGTGAAGTGTATAGTCTAGTCTATGGTGAAGTGTATAGTATAGTCTATGGTGAAGTGTATAGTCTAGTCTATAGTCTAGTCTATAGTCTAGTCTATAGTCTAGTCCATAGTCTAGTCTATAGTCTAGTCTATAGTCTAGAGTATAGTCTAGTCTATAGTCTAGTCTATAGTCTAGTCTATAGTCTAATCTATAGTCTAGTCTATAGTCTAGTCTATAGTCTAGTCTATAGTCTAGTCTATAGTCTAGTCTATAGTCTAGTCTATAGTCTAGTCTATAGTCTAGTCTATAGTCTAGTCTATAGTCTAGTCTAGTCTATAGTCTAGTCTATAGTCTAGTCTATAGTCTAGTCTATAGTCTAGTCTATAGTCTAGTCTATAGTCTAGTCTATAGTCTAGTCTATAGTCTAGTCTATAGTCTAGTATATAGTCTAGTCTATAGTCTAGTCTATAGTCTAGTATGTAGTCTAACATATAGTCTATTGTCTAGTCTTTAGTCTAGTCGATTGTCTAATCTATAGTGTAGTGTATAGTCTAGTGCATAGTCTAGTGTATAGTCTAGTATATAATCTAGCCTATAGTCTAGTCTATTCTAGTCTATAATATAGCCTATAGTCTAATGTGTAGTCTAGTCTGTAGTCTATTCTATACTCTAGCCTATAGTAGCAGCCTATAGTCTAATGTGTAGTTTAGTCAATAGTCTAGTCAATAGTCTAGTCTATGGTCTAGTCTATAGTCTAATATATAGTCTAGTATATAGTCTAGTCTATGGTCTAGTCTATAGTCTAGTCTATAGTCTAGTCTACAGTCTAGTCTACAGTATAGTCTATAGTACAGTCTATAGTACAGTCTATAGTCTGGTCTATAGTCTAGTCTATGGTCTAGTCTATAGTCTACTCTATAGTCTAGTCTATAGTCTAGTCCATAGTCTAGTCTATAGTCTAGTCCATAGTCTAGTTTATAGTCGAGTCCATAATTTGGTCTATAGTCTAGTCTATGGTCTAGTCTATAGTCCACTCTATAGTCTAGTCTATAATCTTGTCTATAGTCTAGTCTATAGTCTTTGCTATAGTCTAGTCTATAGTCTAGTCTAAGTCTAGCCTATAGTCTAGTCCATAGTCTAGTCTATAGTCTAGTCTATAGTCAAGTCTATAGTCTAGTCTATAGTCTAGTCTATAGTCTACTGTATAGTATACTGTATAGTCTAGTCTATAGTCTAGTGTATAGTATAATGTATAGTCTAGTCTATAGTCTAATGTATAGTCTAGTACAATCTAGTCTATAGTCTAGTCTATAGTCTAGTCTATAGTCTAGTCTATAGTCTAGTCTATAGTCTAGTCTATAGTCTAGACTATAGTCTAGTCTATAGTCTAGTCTATAGTCTAGTCTATAGTCTAGTCTATAGTCTAGTCTATAGTCTAGTCTATAGTCTAGTCTATAGTCTAGTCTATAGTCTAGTCTATAGTCTAGTCTATAGTCTAGTCTATAGTCTAGTCTATAGTCTAGTCTATAGTCTAGTCTATAGTCTAGTCTATAGTCTAGTCTATAGTCTAGTCTATAGTCTAGTCTATAGTCTAGTCTATGGTCTAGTCTATAGTCTAGTCTATAGTCTAGTCTATAGTCTAGTCTATAGTCTAGTCTAGAGTCTAGTTTATAGTCTAGTTTATAGTCTAGTCTAGAGTCTAGTCTATAGTCTAGTCTATAGTCTAGTCTATAGTCTAGTCTATAGTCTAGTCTAGTTTATAGTCTAGTCTAGTTTATAGTCTAGTCTATAGTCGAGTCTATAGTCTAGTCTATAGTCTAGTCTATAGTCTAGTCTATAGTCTAGGCTATAGTCTAGTCTATAGTCTAGTCTATAGTCTAGTCTATAGTCTAGTCTATAGTCTAGTCTATAGTTTAGTCTATAGTCTAGTCTATAGTCTAGTCTATAGTCTAGTCTATAGTCTAGTCTATAGTCTAGTTTATAGTCTAGTCTATAGTCTAGTCTATAGTCTAGTCTATAGTCTAGTCTATAGTCTAGTCTAGAGTCTAGTCTATAGTCTAGTCTAGTAGTCTAGTCTATATAGTCTAGTCTATAGTCTAGTCTATAGTCTAGTCTATAGTCTAGGCTAGTCTATAGTCTAGGCTAGTCTATAGTCTAGGCTAGTCTATAGTCTAGGCTAGTCTATAGTCAAGTCTATAGTCTAGTGTAAAGTCTAGTCTATAGTCTAGGCTAGTCTATAGAATAGTCTATAGTCTAGGCTAGCCTATATTATAGTCTATAGTCAAGTCTATGGTCTAGTCTATAGTATAGTCTAGTCTGGAGTCAAGTCTATAGTCTAGTTTAACGTTAAGTCTATGGTCTAGTCTATAGTTTAATCTAAGGTCTATTGATTAAGTTTAACGTTTTCTAGCGGTTTTTGCAAAAACCTACATCTAACAGTTTTTAGCGGTTTATTGTGACATGTTTTAACGGAAAATTGTGTAAAAAATATTGGCAACACTGCTCTTGAGGTTTATTTTTGTCGTTCTCTTGATCAATAGAATAGAGTAGAGTAGAAGAAAAACTATTAAAAAAGTTTGAAATTGAAATTTTTATAGATCTTGTTTTAAAAGAAGACGAAAGTGAAACACTCACACAACATGCGTTAGAAAAACTAAACTAGAAAACTTTACAACTGTTGCCGCGAGAAACTGATCATCTTCTTCTAATGTCGGTCTCTCCTTACCTCCCATTCTCTGCTCTTTCTAACATTCTTTCAATAGCTTCCTACAAAGAAAACTGAAAGTGACTTTGCTTATTTGGGGTGTTAAAAAGTGTTTTTTTTTTAAGAAATGTACTTAAGCAAAATTAGCTATTATGACATTTCTTCAAAGTTTATTTTATCACGTGTTTTTTTATGTTTTCTTTTTGCTATGTTTTCTCTCCAACTTTTCTAATGCCTTTTAACCTTTACAAATTAATAAAACGTAGGTTTGTTTTTGTCGTTATTTGATTGCAAAATTTGTAAACAATTTGTTCTTTATTTTGGAATTTGAAAAATTTAAATTTTCTTAAAAGTTTGCGCCTCTTTTTTGGCACCATAATGTTGTTTTATATGTATATTTGAAAATATTTATTATTTTTTCTTTTATACTGTGTGTAGTTTTAGAAAAAATGTGGGCGTTTTTGTTAAAATATTTTTATATTTCGTTTTTTTTTTTTTTATATATATTATAATATCCAGTGCTATTTTCCAATGCTCTATTATGTGTATTTATAAAGATAATGTAGCAGCAGAAAATGCTTGTAGAAAATGATAACAGGAATGGACAACCTTTGTGTTAATATTGGGAAGTAATATCATTTATTAATAGTTAAAAAAGCTTCCGAGCTTTAGTTCAGATCAGCAGAAATATCTAAAAAGATCAGTTTGTTTCTTTACACATTTCTAGGAAATGATCATTTATTAAAAGTTAAAAAATCTTGCGTCGTAAAAGTGAAGATCAATTTCTTATATGGTTGCTTTTGGGCTTAAGATCAGTTCAGACAGATCAGCAGATATTTGTAAAAAGATCAGTTTGAATATTTACACATTTATCAATTTATGATCGTTTGCAACTCATTAAACAGGTTGCATTTCGAAAGTTTCCCTTTCTCTTAAGATTGTTCTAACATCAGTTAGAATATTTAAAATTTCTAAAGATCAATCAATGATCATTTCTAATACGATTCTAAAATTAAATACATTTTTGAATCTATAGGTTAAAAATACTGAAAATACTCTTTATTACGCATTTAAATTAAGATACTTTGTTTAATTGTTTATCATTTAAGATCACTGCAGATCATCAAAACGACTAAGAAGTCAATTTACGATCGTTGCCAATACGTTCTTAGTTCTTTCTCTGGAAAAACTTCTCTTTACATCTTTGAATAGTTTCTCACTAAATAATATCTGTTAGGATCTTCATAATTTCTAAAAAAAATGAATCGATGATCGTTTCTAACACGATTTGATCTTTGTATCAGATCATCGAAATGATTAAAAAGTTAATCCATGATTGTTGTTAACAAGATCTTCTCACTTTCTTTGTGAACTCTTTTCATCATTAAATCGTTTCTCTGTTAATAACAAAAAACAAATTCATAAATTTCTAAAAGATCAATCAATGATCGTTACTAACACCATTTTAAAACCAAAATTATCGAATCTGTATGTTAAAAAGACTGAAAAGAGTATTTACGTCTTTAAATTAAGACACTTTGTTTAATGGTTTATCACTTAAGATCACTTCAGATCATCAAAATTACTAAAAGGTTAATCCAAGATCGTTACTAACACTATGTTTTCTCCTTATCTGAAAATATTCTTTACATCTTTGAATTAAAACTTTATTTAATGGTTTCAAACTTATGGATCAGTTTAGATCATAAGTTTAGATCAAAAGATCAAATTTTTAAACGATCAATGATCGTTTGAAATGAAATTATTCGTATGCTAAAAAGGATTCAGACTTATCAGAAAACTAAATATGCAATAAGTCTCTTACATCTTTGAATACAGACTTTGTTAAATCGTTTCGCACTAAGGATCAGTTTGAATTATCACACATTTGTAAAAGATCATTCCATGATCGTTTCTAAGACGATTTGAAAATGAAATATGTATAATCGAATCCGTTTGTTCGAAAATTTCCCCTACTAGTTCTATATATAAAATTTTCACTTCTCTGAAAATACTCATCAGATCAGTTTAGATCATTATAAATTTCTTAAAGATCAATCGATTATCATTAACACACTATAGATATATAGATAGATAGATAGATAGATAGATAGATAGATAGATAGATAGATAGATAGAGAGATAGATAGATAGATAGATAGATAGATAGATAGATAGATAGATAGATAGATAGATAGATAGATAGATAGATAGATAGATAGATAGATAGATAAATAGATAGATAAATAGATAGATAAATAGATAGATAGATAATAGATAGATAGATAGATAGATAGATAGATAGATAGATAGATAGATAGATAGATAGATAGATAGATAGATAGATAGATAGATAGATAGATAGATAGATAGATAGATAGATAGATAGATAGATAGATAGATAGATATGATAGATAGATAGATAGATAGATAGATAGATAGATAGATAGATAGATAGATAGATAGATAGATAGATAGATAGATAGATAGATAGATAGATAGATAGATAGATAGATAGATAGATAGATAGATAGATAGATAGAGATAGATAGATATATAGATAGATAGATAGATAGATAGATAGATAGATAGATAGATAGATAGATAGATAGATAGATAGATAGATAGATAGATAGATATATAGATATATAGATAGATAGATAGATAGATAGATAGATAGATAGATAGATAGATAGATAAATAGATAGATAGATAGATAGATAGATAGATAGATAGATAGATAGATAGATAGATAGATAGATAGATAGATAGATAGATAGATAGATAGATAGATAGATAGATAGATAGATAGAGATAGATAGATAGATAGATAGATAGATAGATAGATAGATAGATAGATAGATAGAGAAATAGATAGATAGATAGATAGATAGATAGATAGATAGATAGATAGATAGATAGATAGATAGATAGATAGATAGATAGATAGATAGATAGATAGATATAGATCTATAGAGCGATAGCTACATAAAGAGATAGATAGATATAGACCTATAGAGCGATAGCTACATAAAGAGATAGATATGATAGATATCTGATAAATATATAGATTGAAAGTACGGCAGATACTTAAGTTCCAAAAAGTCTCTTGTCATCTTTAAGACGTAATAAAAACCGATTAAATTGTAATCTGCAGACGTTCTTATCTTTAATCTTAAAGCAAAAAAGCGTAAAGAATTTCGCAAGGTTAGACAATACGGTTTAAAATTAAAACATTTCAATATTATTAATCTCTAGCCTATAATTAACACTTATAAAATAAATAAAAAAGAAGTAGAAAGAGGTTGGTTTCATCATCATCTATAGACGGTTTTATTTGTGTAAATTGATAAACAACAACAAAAAGGTTATCACAAGAAGTGGTTTAAAATAAAATATGATTAATTTCAAAGGCTATAGAAAGAAGAAAGCTCAATAAAAGAGAAAACAAGGAGGGGGTTCACAGTGTGTTGTTTCTTTAACTTTGGATCTGCACTCTCTACGAAGGGAAACTCTTCTTAACCTAACCTAGAAATTGTTTATAATTAGCACTTTCGAAAAGATCTTTAATTTGATTTGTTTGTTTTTTTTAAGGTGTTAAAGCTGTAGATAAACGTGAAGGCGCTGGCGCTCACAACTGGGGTTCCGTTAAGGATACCATTGAGGAAGGCAATAACACTAAAAATGTTGAAGAAAATGGCAATGCCGCTAATGCTGGTGAAAAGAATGAAGAATCGGGTAATGAACAAGCCACAGAACAAACTCCAGTCGAGGAAGAAGTTAAGGAATTGACATTGGATGAATGGAAAGCTCAACAACAACAACGTGCCAAGCCACAATTTAATATACGTAAAGCAGGAGAAGGTTAGTTAATGATAAAGGGAGTAAAAATAAGGATGTTGGGTTAAATTTGGGTTTTATTTTGTTTGTTTCTTAGGTGAAGATACTACCAAATGGAAGAAAATGATTGTATTGAATAATAGCAAAGCTACCAAGGAAAAGAAGGGTACCGAAAGTGAAGAAGAATTAGAATTTGATCCTGCCATGTATCCCCAACGTGTGGGTAGACAACAACGTGTATTGGATATACAATTCAATTTCAATGATGGACGTCGTTTGGGTGGTTTTGGTGGTAGAGGACGTGGTGGCAATCGTAATGGACCACGTAATAATGCTGGTGGTGCAGCTGCTGGTGGTGCTGCTGCTGCTGGTGGTGAAGGTGCTGCTGCTGCTGCACCTAAACCACGTTTTGAGGGTGGTAACCGTGGTGGCAATAATAATGCTGGCGGTAATCGTGCTGCTGGTGGTAAACGTCAATTTGGTGATAAGCAAAATGCTGCACCAAAAGTTAATGATGAACGTCAATTCCCTACATTGGCTTAAATCACTTTTTTATTCAAAGGGATTTAAAACTCTTTAACAAATAACAACTAAACAATAGTAAGGAGTTGCTTAACATAATTAAACCTTTAACAAAAACAAGAGTTTTATTTTATTTTCAAGCCAAAATATTTAACAAAAAAAAAATAAAACCAACAAAGTCATTTAAATTTAGCCTACAACAACAACAAACAATACTTCCGTTTAACACACACACAACCAGCAGAAAGAAAGATAAACAAAACCTTTTATTTTTTTCTTATAATTTTTATTAAGTTTTATGTTCAAAAAGAAAGAAAATTTTGTATTTTAAAAGCTGGACCACATTGGATCCTTAATATACAAAAGTAAAAAGTCTTTTTTAAAAAAAAAACCAAAAATAAAGTTTAGATTTTAAAGTTTTAAGAAAATATAAAAAGGAAAATGTTTTAAAAAGACTGCCGCTATAAAGGATTTAAGGATTTATTAACATTTTTCTTTTAAATTCTTTAAAACTTTAAAACAATTGCTTTAAAATTTTGGTTTTTTTCAAATTTAGTTCAAGTCAAAACAAGACTGTTTTATGTTAAACACAAAAGAACAAAATTTTGAATATTAAACTGCAACAAGAATTACAACAAGAAAATTTACAAAAAAAAAAATCAACGACACATTTTTTTCCAATAATTAGTAAAAATCGTTATTAATATATTCTATCATTAAACAAAAAAAAAAAAAATAAACAAAATATTTCATTAAATTGTTTAAACAATTATCATTATTAAGCATTAATCATCAAAAAAAAAATTTGAAAATTCACTTACACACTTTATACATTTGTCATTATAAAAAATCATTTATCATGATTTTTAAGAGAATATTAAACAAAAAAAAGAAAAGAAAAGTTTTAATAAAACAAAAACAAAAAAGGAAAAAACCCAAGTCTTTAAATGTATTAACAAACAGTTTAGAGTAAAAAAACCATAAAAATAATAAAACAATAACAAAAAATGTAAGGAAAATCTTGCAAGTAACACACAATTTTAAATTAAACTTAAAATTTTAAATTAAAAAACAAAAATAAAAATGTCCCCCCAAAAAAACCCAAACTTTTTAAAAAGAAAAAGTAAGTAATTAAAAGATTTTAAAGAATTTTTTTTAGAGAAAAAAAAAAAAACTTAAAACAAATCCTTCTTCCAAAAGCAAAAGGTTGTAAATTACAACTCTACTACTCAAGCTAAAACATTTTTAATCCCAAACTTCTATCGTAAAAATTTCTTAAAAGACTTATCAATAAAATGAACCTTGACCCTCCCCCCCTTTCACCACAGCGACAAAACAAGTTTCCTTCATTAAACAACAAAAAAAAAACACAATAACAATATATAATATTACTACTAATTACATGGTATTTATAAGTGAGGATTATAATTTATGATTTTGTTTTCTTAAAATATAGTTTTAAAACAAAAAAACAAACAAAAAAATATAAAAAAAAAAAATTAAAAAAAAAAAAATAATAAAAACTTAAAAAAAAATCATCAAAAAATAAATAAATATTATTGAAAACCTTTAAAAAAAAAACGAAAAAATAAAACTATGTCAAAAAAAAAAAAAGAAACATAAAAATTATTTAATAAAACTACTTTAATATTGTTTTAAAATTTTTTTGTGGTAACGAAATAATAAAAACAAAACACTCACTACTTTTTTTTTAATTGAAAAAAAAAAAAAAGAAAAGTTAAATGTTAAGTTATTAAAAAAAAGAAAACCTCAACATTTTCTCATAAATATTTATATTCCTCCTCTGGTCCCAGAAAAAAGAAAAAAGTTAACCTCCATGAAAATTAATAATAATTTATAATTAATGCATAACAACAACATGAAAAAGAAACACTTAATATTACAAAAGATCAACTTTTTTTTTGAGAGAAAAAAGCAAAATGTATTTTGACCCAAAGAAACAACAAAAATGTTTGAAAAATCGTTTAAATAAAAATTTGATAAAACAAAAAAAAAATGAGAAAAAGGGATGTTTTAGTTTGCAACGCTGGTACAGCATATGTTCACTAGACTATAACTAGATTAGAGACCAGACTACAAACTAGACTATAGACCATGTTATAGACTAGACTATAGATCAGACAATAGACTAGAATTTAGGATAGACTATAGACTAGACAATAGCTGATACTATAGACTAGACTATATATTAGACTATAGACATCCCTATTGACAAGACTATAGTCTAGACTATAGACATGACTGTTGACCAGACTATAGACTAGACAATAGACTAGACAATAGACTAGACTATAGAGTAGACTATAGACATCCCTATTGACAAGGCTATAGTCTAGACTATAGACAATAGACTAGACTGTAGGCAAGACTATAGACAAGACTGTAGACAAGACTATAAACAATACTATAAACAAGATAATAGAGTAGACTATATACTAGACTAGACTAAAGACTAGACTATAGACTAGGCTATAGACGAGACTATAGAGTAGACTATATACTAGACTAAAGACTAGACTATAGACTAGGCTATAGACGAGACTATAGACTAGACTATAGACTAGACTATAGACTAGACTATAGACCAGACTATAGACTAGACTAGACTTTAGACTAGACAATGGACTAGAAGTTAGACTAGACTATTGACTAGACAATAAACTAGACAATTGACAAGACTATAGAGTAGACTATATACTAGACTATTGACAAGGCTATATAGTAGACTGCAGACTAGACCGTGACTAGACTATAGACTACATTATTAACCAGACTATAGATTAGACCATAGACTATATAGACTCGACTATAGACTAGACTATGGACAAGACTATAGACTAAACAATACTATAGACTAGACAATAGACTAGAATGTAGACTAAACTATAGGCAAGACTGTAGACAAGACTGTAGACAAGACTATAGACAAGACTATAGACAAGACAATAGACTAGACTATAAACGGGACTATAGACTATACTAAGACAGGACTATAGACTAGATTATAGACTAGACAAGACAACAGACAAGACTACAAACGGGACTATAGACTAGACTATAAACGGGACTATAGACTAGACTATAAACGGGACTATAGACTAGACTATAAACGGGACTATAGACTAGACTATAGACTAGACTACGACAGGACTATAGACTAAATTATAAACTAGACTATAGACAAGACTATAGAGTAGACTGCAGACTAGACCATGACTAGACTATGTACTAGACTAGACCATAGACCAGACTATGGATTAGACCATAGACTAGACTATAGAATCAACTATAGACTAGACTATGGACAAGGCTATAGAGTAGACTAAAGACTAGACTATAGACAAGACTATATACAAGACTATAGACTTGACTATAGCCAAGACAATAGACAACACTATAGACAAGACTATAGACAAGACTATAGACTAGACTAGACTAAAGTCTAGACTATAGACCAGACTATAGACTAGATAATATACTAGAATTTAGACTAGACTATTGACTAGACAATAGACTAGACAATAGACTAAACTATTGACAAGACTATAGAGTGGACTATAGAGTAGACTATATACTAGACTATCGACAAGACTATAGACTAGACTATAGAGTAGACTGCAGACTAGACCATGTCTAGACTATAGACTACACCATAGACCATACTAGAATAGACAATAGACTAGAATTTAGACTATAGACTAGACTATAGACTAGACTATAGCCTAGACTATAGACTAGGCTATAGACTAGAATATAATAAAGAGTATAGACTATGATATAGACGAGATTATGTACTAGAATATAGTCTAAACTACAGACTGACAATTTGTTAAAAAATATCGTGTGCGCCATCAGAAATAAGCACACGAAATTTTTGTGCAAATTGTCGCATTATTGTTCTCTTGTGCAGGCCCCTTTAACTGACTTATCAAAAGTTTATAAGTTAGAAAATGTACCGAGCATAAGTAGGTATAGATATTGAGATATCGAAATACTAAAGTACTGAATTTTCCATGCCTGAACTAGAGTATACTTTGGAGATCTTTTAGCCTAAAGTTCCAACAGGCGTCATATAACAGTGTAAATTCGCCTTTTTTCATAATTGTTATAATATTTTAAAGTTTTGCCAATTTTCTTCAAAATAAAGACATAATTTTTGTTAGATCTTGTTATTTCTATGAGATATCCTAAACTGAGTAAATATACAAGTCAGTAGTCTTAAGAACTCAATAGAGGATTTCTTATACTAGTCAATAGACTAGTTCTGCATTAACCCATATACTAGTCGATGGTCTTGTCTGGAACTAGGGTATAATTCATTAGGATCTAGTTAATATAATACTCTATAGACCAGTCCATAAACTTATCAAGACTAGCCAGTCAATAGACTAGTCTATAATCTAGTCAATAGACTAGTCTATAAACTAGTCTATAATTTAGTCAATAGACTAGTCTATAAATAGACAAGTCTATAAACTAGTCAATAGACTAGTCTATAAACTAGTCAATAGACTAGTCTATAAACTAGTCAATAGACTAGTCTATAAACTAGTCAATAGACTAGTTTATAAACTAGTCAATAGACTAGTCTATAAACTAGTTAGTAGACTAGTCTATAAAGTAGTCAATAGATTAGTTGATAAACAAGTTTCTAGTCTATAAAGTAGTCAGTAGACTGATAAAGAGACTAGTTTGGTGTAGTTAATATAAAATCTCAATAGTCTACAGCCTATAGGTACTAACTTTTCAGGCGGAAAGAACTCAATAGAGGATTTCTTATACTAGTCAATAGACTAGTTCTGTATTAACCCATATACTAGTCTATGGTCTTGTCTGGAACTAGGGTATAATTCATTAGGATCTAGTTAATATAATACTCTAGGGAACAGTCCATAAACTTATCAAGACTAGCCAGTATACTAAAACTAGTCCCTTGTTTATGGACTAGTATTCAACAAACTAGTCTCTAAACTAGTGAATAGGCTAGGCTTTAAACTTATCAATAGACTAGTGTATAAACTAGTTAATAGACTAGTCTATAAACTTGTCAATAGACTAGTCTATAAAGTTGTCAATAGACGAGTGTATAAACTAGTCAATAGACTAGTCTATAAACTAGTCAATAAACTAGTATATAAACTAGTCAATAGACTAGTCTTGAAACTAGTCAATAGATTAGGCTATAAACTGGTCAATAGACTAGTCTATAAACTAGTTAGCAGACTAGTCTATAAACTAGTTAATAGATTAGTTGATAAACAAGTTACTAGTCTATAAAGTAGTCAGTAGACTGATAAAGAGACTAGTTTGGTGTAGTTAATATAAAATCTCAATAGTCTACAGCCTATAGGTACTATTTTTCAGGCGGAAAAATTTTGATTAATTTTTATACAAAATTTCAATTTTACATACCTGTTATACAGCTTATTTAAACAAATTTACATGGGAAACAACTAAACGACATATTTTGAATATTTGGCTAAACATATTTTGAATATTTGGCTACTGAATTGTTTAATTTATGATGATTTCTGAATTGGCACTCAAACTGTTGTCAAGTCATTAAATTAACCAAAAAAATATATCTTTGATCCCGTTAAAACTAACTGAAGGAGTGAATGAATGAATGAATTAAAACAACAAAAACAACTTGTAATAAAACTATCGAAAAAAAATCTGCTGAACAAGCATTTGCAATAGAAGAAACAAAATGGAAATGAAACGAGAAATATGATGGAGCAGCGAAAAAAAAAATAACGGCACATCAGCATGTTTTTTTTCTTATTAGAAACAAATTCTTAGAAAATGTAAATTTTTACACAATTTAAAGTAAATTAACACTAATTTTATAAATTTTATTAATAATTCATAAATTTAATACTTATTTTTGAGATGTAATAAAGATTTTTATTAATTTAGCAGCAGCTAACACGAAACTCACCAGATATTCTTTTAAATAGTAAATTAATAATTAGTAATACTTTTTATTGTTTAATTAACACAATTTTATATTAAATGAAGCCTTTTTTGACTAAAATGCACTATAATTTTTAATTATTTTATAATTTTATATTAATTCACAAAAAGAAATGATGGTGGACACAAGCTGTGGCGGCAACCAAAGGAAAAATTAAAATGAAACGAAACGAAAGCAAATTGACAGAGTTGTTTTTTCATTCGGCAAATTGAGTGACTTTTACTTATAGAGTTGCCAGATGTGCTTTTCTTATAAAGTGGTTGAACAAACAAAGAAAATTTTTAGAAAATTTAAGTTAAATAATAGAATTTGGTTAATTTATATAATAAATAACTTATTTTACTTAATAATTAAATATAATTTTCACTAATTATATTATATTTATATTTTTAATAACACAATATTATGCTAACATTAGTATGGCAACTTTGATTTATTGAACGAGTGATAAAAGAAAAAATACAAAAAAAAGATGAGTAGAAACACAAGTGTGAAACATAACGGCAGTTTTTTTTTTTGCCAATCGTGTAAAATTTTGTGAAAAAGTACAATTTTAGAAAAATTAAAGTGTTTTTATATAAAAATTATTAAAAAAAAACTTTAATCACCAAATTGTTTATCAAGTAAATTACCGGTAAGTCATTTTAAACTATTTAAACCACAAAAACTTACCAAAGTTTGTGATCAAGACGTCGGCTTACTTTCGCTAAAACACAATTGCTAATTTCTTAATAATTATCACAAATTTAATTGTATACACTGACTTTGTATTGTTTATAAAGTTTTTCTTATAATTTGTTTAAATCTTTTAAAATCAAATAATTTTATATGCAATTTGCTAAAATTTTGTTTAAGCTTGTTGCGACATGTCCGTTTTTTCAAGAGTAGTGTTGCAAACTGGTTGTTGATTTTTCACTCTATGTTGTTTTCATGAACAGAGTTGTTTTTTATGGTTATTAAATGGTAATGCTTATTAGGCGTTTTTTGAAAAATTTGAAATTAGTAATCAACAATCGACTTTTTTGTAAACTTGTTGATTATAGGGTCCTAATAAATTATATTAATCGACTTGTAAGAAAATGTTATGAAAATCGAAGTAAACTTTTTAATTTACGTATAAGTTTGAACTGTTATATCATCACCAAAAACTCAAAATAAAAGTCAATATTTCAAGAGTCGAAAAATCGGATACTTATGAAAAGTCGACTTTAGAATTTTCTTCGTTTTACAATTTATAATTATTGACTTCAAAGTTTTTTTTTATTGACTGCTCGACTTTTGTCCTTTTGTTTATATTTAGTTTTCTTTTACAATTTTTCCAGATTTATAAATGAAAAAAACCTTGGTTTAATAATAATATAGTCTAGTCTATAGTGTAGTCTATAGTCTAGTCTATAGTCTAGTCAATAGTCTATATTCTACTCTATATTCTAGTCAATAGTCTAGTCTATAGTCTAGTCAATAGTCTAGTTTATAGTATAGTCTATAATCTAGTATTTAGTCTATTCTATAGTCTAGGCTATGGTCTAGTCTATAGTCTGGTCTATAGTCTAGTCTATATTCTACTCTATATTTTAGTCTATAGTCTAATCATTAATCTAGTATGTTTTCTAGTCTATTCTATATTACAGTATATAGTCTATTTTATTGTCTAGTCTATGGTCTAGTCTATAGTCTAGACTATAGTCTATGGTCTAGTCTATAGTCTAGACTATAGTCTATGGTCTAGTCTATAGTCTATACTATAATATTGTCTATACTCTAGTCTAGTCTAGTCTATAGTCTATTATATAGTCAAGTTTATAGTCTAGTATATAGTTAATCTATAATAAAATATGTAGTATAGTCTATAATATAGTTTATATTTTAGTCCATAATCTAGTCTAAGATCTAGCTTATAGTCCAGTGTATAGCCAAGTTTATAGTCTAGTGTATAGTATAATCTATTATCTAGTTTATAGACTAGTCTATAGTTTATAATTGAGAACATAATCTAGTCTATAGTCTAGTTTATGGTCTACAATATAATCTTGTTTATAATGTACTATATTGTCTAGTCTATATTCTAGACTATAATATGGTCTAGTCTATAATCTAGTCTACGGTTTAGTATAGTAGTCTAGTCTATAGTCTATTCTATAGTCTAGTCTATAGTATAGTCTAGTCTATAGTGTATTCTATAGTCTATTATATAGTCTGGTCTATATTCAAGTCTATAGTCTATTATCTATAGTCTAGTCTATAGTCTAGTCTATAGTCTAGTCTATAGTCTAGTCTATAGTCTAGTCTATAGTCTAGTCTATAGTCTAGTCTATAGTCTAGTCTATAGTCTAGTCTATAGTCTAGTCTATAGTCTAGTCTATAGTCTAGTCTATAGTCTAGTCTATAGTCTAGTCTATAGTCTAGTCTATAGTCTAGTCTATAGTCTAGTCTATAGTCTAGTCTATAGTCTAGTCTATAGTCTAGTCTATAGTCTAGTCTATAGTCTAGTCTATAGTCTAGTCTATAGTCTAGTCTATAGTCTAGTCTATAGTCTAGTCTATAGTCTAGTCTATAGTCTAGTCTATAGTCTAGTCTATAGTCTAGTCTATAGTCTAGTCTATAGTCTAGTCTATAGTCTAGTCTATAGTCTAGTCTATAGTCTAGTCTATAGTCTACTAGACTATAGACTAGACTATAGACTAGACTATAGACTACACTATAGACTAGACTATAGACTAGACTATAGACTAGACTATGGACTAGACTAGACTAGACTAGACAATAGACTAGACTATAGACTAGACTATAGACTAGACTATAGACTAGACTACAGACTAGACTATAGACTAGACTATTGACTAGACTATCGACTAGGCTATAGACTAGACTATAGACTAGACTATAGACTAGACTATAGACTAGACTATAGACTAGACTATAGACTAGACTATAGACTAGACTAGACTATAGACTAGACTAGACTATAGACTAGACTATAGACTAGACTATAGTCTAGACTATAGTCTAGTCTATAGTCTAGTCTATAGTCTAGTCTATAGTCTAGTCTATAGTCTAGTCTAGTCTATAGTCTAGTCTAGTCTATAGTCTAGTCTATAGTCTAGTCTATAGTCTAGTCTATAGTCTAGTCTATAGTCTAGTCTATAGCCTAGTCGATAGTCTAGTCAATAGTCTAGTCTATAGTCTAGTCTGTAGTCTAGTCTATAGTCTAGTCTATAGTCTAGTCTATAGTCTAGTCTATTGTCTAGTCTATAGTCTAGTCTAGTCCATAGTCTAGTCTATAGTCTAGTCTATAGTCTAGTCTATAGTGTAGTCTATAGTCTAGTCTATAGTCTAGTCTATAGTCTAGTCTATAGTCTAGTCTATAGTCTAGTCTATAGTCTAGTCTATAGTCTAGTCTATAGTCTAGTCTATGGTCTAGTCTATAGTCTAGTCTATAGTCTAGTATATAGTCTAGTCTATAGCTTAGTCAATAGTCTAGTCTATAGTCTAGTCTATAGTCTAGTTTATAGTCTAGTCTACAGTCTAGTCTATAGTCTAGTCTATAGTCTAGTCTATAGTCTAGTCTATAGTCTAGTCTATAGTCTAGTCTATAGTCTAGTCTATAGTCTAGTCTACAGTCTAGTCTATAGTCTAGTCTATAGTCTAGCCTATAGTCTAGTCTATAGTCTAGTCTATAGTCTAGTCTAGAGTCTAGTCTATAGTCTAGTCTATAGTCTAGTCTATAGTCTAGTCTATAGTCTAGTCTATAGTCTAGTCTATAGACTAGTCTATATTCTAGGCTAGTCTACAGTCTAGTCTATAATCTAAATTATAATCTAGTCTATAATATAGTCTGTAGTCTAGCATATAGTCTAGTCTTTCGTCTAGTCTATAGTCTAGCCTGCAGTATATAGTGTAGTCTATAGTATAGTCTAAAGTCTTGTCTATATTCTAGCCTATAATCTGGTCTATAGTCTAGTCGATAGTGTATTCTATAGTCTAGGCTATAGTCTAGTATATAGTATGTCTATAGTCCGTCTATACTCTTTATGTTACAAGTTAGTACCATTAAAAGCTTCAATTTTCCATGCCTGTCAGTCTGCAACGGCGCACTAATGTAAGTTAACATCATAGCTGTAATGTTAAGTTAACAGAGTACAAATTCTCGCAATACTACTTACCACTAGATGGCGCACTTGCAAAACTCTGCAAATAACAGTTTAACGAATAAATTTTAAAAAATTGTCTTTATTTGTTTTCATACTTATAAATTTGTTTTAATCAATTCCATAATAAATAAAACACTTTTTAAATTGTCTGTTTAAGTATTATTTGTATTTAAATATATATTTTTTATATTATTGTTATTTTATTACTTATTTATTGTTATATGTTTGTTTTTTTCAAAAAAAAGAACTCTATATTTAGGCTTTAACCAAATATAATAGAAAGATCTTAAATATCTATATAGTTATAGGGAGATAATACAGATTTTCATTGGGTTTAGTTCAGTTGTATTTGGCAATTATATTATTTTAATTGATGTTTGTTTTTTAAGTTTTCTCTTTTATTTTTTATATAGAAAAATTGTATTCTTTGTTCTAAGAAATCAGTTCCATTAGTTTATATAAATTGGTAGAGTATTTTAGTTATTTAAGGGGATTTATTATTATAGTTATAAAATAGGTATGAATAGACGTTATTTATATATGATTAAAATGAGGGGGATGAGAATTTCATAATCTTTCATAATCCATAAGATTATTTATGATTTTTAGATGATTTTTTAAAATTTTTGACTTTTGTGTAAAAAAGTATATTTAGTATAAAAGATTTTATAAAACTATATTTTTTTTATTTGAAGGAGAGTTATTAAGTGTAAAAATTATTTAAAAAATAAAACTGTAAATTGTTTTTTTTTTAATTTTTGAAAAAAAAGTATTGAAAATTATTTGAAAATAAAAATTGTTAGTTTTTATTTTCAAAACATTTTCAATTCTTTTTTCTTTAATTTTATTTATCAGTTTTATTTTTATTAACTTATATTTTAATTTTATATAAAATTTATGTATTTTATTTAGTTCTTAATTTCTTTTTCTTTATGTTAAAAAAATTTTTCTAATAATTTACTTTTATTTTTAGCTTTTCTTTCAATATTTTTTATGTCTATATTTTATTAGCTTTGATTATATGCAAAATATTTTAAAATTTTCTTATTTTTAAAAATTTCCTTAAGAAAACCAATATGGTTTTGTTTTGGAAAATTTAATCTCCTTATTCAGTTTCTTGGACAGAAATTCTATGTTTATCAAATTTTAAACATAAAATTTAACTCAGAGATTCTGAATACGGAGTTTAATTTATATTTAGTATTGTTATTAATATTAATTTATTAATTATTTTATGGTAATTTTTCTTAACTTTGAAAAAAATCATAATAATTGCAAATTAATATAACAATTGAAAGCGTTGGATTTCGGTTTGATTTAACAGCGTCCAAGTTCAGATTTATAACTCCGAATGAATTAAATTAACTGATATTGAACCGACTTGCACTTTCGGATTTCCCAGCTAAACAAATTTTTAGAACTGAACTAGAACAGAGCAGAAATACTAGGACAGAACTAGAACAGAACTCGAACAGAACTGGAACAGAAATAGAACAGAACTAGAACATAACTAAACAGAACTAGAACAGAACAGAACCAAAACTTTAACAGAACTAGATCTGAACTAGAACAGAACTAGAACAGAAGTAGTACAGAACTGGAACAGAACTAGAACAGAACTAAAACCGAACCAGAACTTAAACAGAACTAGAACTGAACTATAACAGAACCAGAACTAGAATAGAACCAAAACTTTAACAGAACTAGAACAGAACCACAACTTTAACAGAACTAGTACAGAACTAGAACAGAACTAGAACAGAACTAAAACAGAACCAGAACTTAAACAGAACTAGAACTGAACTATAACAGAACCAGAACTTTAATAAAACTAGAACAGAACTAGAACAGAACTAGAACAGAACTAGAACAGAACTAGAACAGAACTAGAACAAAACTAGAACAAAACTAGAACAGAACTAGAATAGAACTATAACAGAAATAGAACAGAACTAGAACATAACTACAACAGAACTAGAACAGAACCAAAACTTTAACAGAACTAGAACTGAACTATGACGGAACTAGAACAGAACTAGTACAGAACTAGAACAGAACTAGAACAGAACTAGAACAGAACCAGAACAGAACTAGAACAGAACTAGAACAGAACTAGAACAGAACTAGAACAGAACTAGAGCAGAACTAGAACAGAACTAGAACAGAACTAGAACAGAACTAGAACAGAACTAGAACAGAACTAGAATAGAACTAGAACAGAACTAGAACACAACTGGAACACAACTAGAACAGAACTAGAACTGAACTAGAACTGAACTAGAACTGAACTAGAACTGAACTAGAACTGAACTAGAACTGAACTAGAACTGAACTAGAACTGAACTAGAACTGAACTAGAACTGAACTAGAACTGAACTAGAACTGAACTATAACTGAATTAGAACTGAACTAGAACAGAACCAGAACTTAACTAGAACTGAACTAGAACTGAACTAGAACTGAACTAGAACTGAACGAGAACTGAACTAGAACTGAATTAGAACTGAACTAGAACTGAACTAGAACTGAACTAGAACTGAACTAAACTAGAACTGAACTAGAACTGAACTAGAACTGAACTGGAACTGAACTAGAACTGAACTAGAACTGAATTAGAACTGAACTAGAACTGAACTAGAACTGAACTAGAACTGAACTAGAACAGAACTTGAACTGAACTAGAACTGAACAAGAACTGTACTAGAACTGAACTAGAACTGAACTAGAACTGAACTAGAACTGAACTAGAACTAGAACTGAACAAGAAATGAACTAGAACTGAACTAGAACTGAACTGAACTAGAACTGAATTAGAACTAAACTAGAACAGAACTAGAACTGAACTGGAACTAAACTGAACTAGAACTTAACTAGAACAGAACTTGAAATTAACTATAACAAACTAAAACAGAACTAGAACTGGAACAAAACTAGAACTGAACTTGAGCAGAGCTAGAACAGAACTAGGGCTGAGCTGGAACTGAACTATAACTGAACTAGAACTGAACTGGAACTGAACTATAACTGAACTAGAACTAAATTAGAAGTGAACTAGAACTGAACTAGAACAGAACTTGAACTGAACTGAACTAGAACTGAACTAGAAGTGAACAAGAACTGTACTAGAACTGAACTAGAACTGAACTAGAACTGAACTAGAACTGAATTAGAACTAAACTAGAACAGAACTAGAACTGAACTGGAACTAAACTGAACTAGAACTTAACTAGAACAGAACTTGAAATTAACTATAACAAACTAAAACAGAACTAGAACTGGAACAAAACTAGAACTGAACTTGAGCAGAGCTAGAACAGAACTAGGGCTGAACTAAAAATGAACTTGAACGAAACAGAACTAGAGCAGAACTTAAACAGAATTAAAACTGAAGTGGAATAAATCTCCAAAAAATTCTCCTAAAACATAAGGAGTTGGACAGATAATTAGCTTTTTTTCTTACAGCAGTTTAAGTTTAAAGAGATCTTTGTCTTTGGTAGAAATTGCTTGAGAGCCGTTTAGGATATCGATATCGCTTTCTCCTTTATTAGAAAGACTTGGTAAATCATTGCTAAATATCAAACCACTACTTATAGCATTTGTTAGTAAAAATATCTACCAAATTATAAAAAAACCAAAAACAAGAGAAACTAAAAAATAAAAACAAACAAAAAAAAATTTTCTTTAAAAATTATTTGAATATAAATATTATATTTTTGTTGCTTTATATATAGATATTGTTGTTTGTATAAGTATTGATAATGATTAAACTAATGGTTAACTAAAGGTTAACTAACTATTATGTTTTAATTTTTAGTAGTTTAAAAAAAAAAATAGATTAGTAATATAACTAAGTAAAAGTTAAATTACAAAATATTTAGTGATGATTTGATTTTTTTGGAAAAATAATAATTTTTTTTTTTTTTAATATTAAACTTAAATTACAAACTAACAATTTAAATTAATAAACTAACAGCTTAACATACAAAATTATAAAAAAATATATATTTAAAAAAATTATAATAAAAAAAAAATTATTAATTTTCTTTTAAAGTTATTGTTGATATTTTTTCTTTGTTTTACTTAAACATTAAACAAAAATAAAATAAAGAAAATAATACTTTTGGCATAGCAAAATAAATATTTTATTGTTTAGAATTATAAAATTAAAAGAAATATATAATTAAAAATTTATAATAAATTGTTTAGTGTTAATAATAGTTTACTTAATAACAGGACACAGCAACTAAAGAAAAATTTATTTAAAATAATTTTTTTTTTTTTTTTTTTGCAACTTAACAAAAAGTTTGATTTGATTTTAAAGTTTTTCCAAAAAACATATTTTTTATATAAAAAAAAACTAAATTAAAAAAATTACAATTAAAAATTAGCATAATAAATTAGATTTAAATTAAGAAACTTAAAAACAAATTATAGTTTGGGGGGGGGGGGGTGGTTTTAAAAAGTAAAAAACAAAAAAAAAATATTTTAAAACTTTAAAAAAAGGGACTTGAGGAATTAGAGTTTTAAAATAAAAACCGGTTTTCCTTTTTTTTCTACCTTAAGTTTTTCTCAGCTTTAGAGTTGTTTTTTTACGATTTTTACGAATTTTTTTTTTGTTTTTCATTTATGCAGCAGTCTTGTGGTTTAGGTTTTAATAGTTTAATCCTTATTAACTATTTATTCCTTTGTTGAATTTATTGATATCATGATTTAACGGTTTGCTAATGCTAACCTTTTTCTGTTTACTTGCAGTTTCCTGGTGCAGTTGCAATTCCTCCTCCTATGAGGCTTTAGCAAATTGTATTACCGAACTGTGTCTCATAACTTTGGGATTCAGTTCTTTAGCACCAGCATTAGTGTTTTCATTTTCGGCCGAATCGGCGCAATCACTCATATAGAGTTTGCGTTTTCTTAGCGGCAAAGTCATGACATCACGATCGGCCATTAGCATCATATCACTTTCGGGTGATGAAGATCTATCGGGCGAAGCGGTAGATGATCGAAGAGGTGCTATAGCTGCCTCCACTTGACGTAAAATGATTTCATTATCATGCAAGGAGGGCCTGTAAACAGAAATAAAAAGAAAAAATGAGCCATTGGTACAAAAACAAAACAAAATATTGTTTAAAACTTTATATAAAATTATTAATTAAGCTAAAATTAAGAAGTAAAACTTACTCAAACTTCGGTACTGGTGCATAACCCTTGGCCAAGCCACCCACATGTCTCGTTAGCTCATCTCTCTTATAATGATCCATTAAATTCTCGGTTAAATTACTCATAACCATTGATTTCACCAAATCGGGATGATGTTGTTCCTGTTGGGGTCTAATCAAGGATTTGTGATGTAGATTATTATATATATGAGTCGAGGTCAATTGATTGCTATTCGATTTCTGTTGAGAATGATGTAATTGCATTATTTGTATGGCGGCCTGTTGAACATCGTCCTCACGACGACTGGCTATGGTGGCAGCTTCTAAAAGTGCCGGATTAATAGTGGGCTGTTGTTCATAACGTATGGGGTGATGTTGCTGAGGTGATGCTAATGTAGCATGTTGTTGCAGCTCGTTGTTATGTGATGGACTTGTAGCGTTATTAAGATAATGATACTGTTGTTGTTGTTGTTGCTGTAGATGTTGCGTTTGATGTTGAGGCGAAGGAGTGCTTTGGTAATGATAGCTCAGATGTGCTGGAGTTGGTTGGTGACCATTGAGACCCTGCTGTAGCTGTGAATCTTCATTAATGTGATGATTTTGTGTAACACTTAAGTCGGTAGGCATTTCATCTGAAATGGGAAAACCTCCCTGATGACTTAGATCCACCAAAGAAACAGCAGCCAATTGACGGTTGGTATTGCAAGGTATAGAACCACTGGCCACGCCACTGTCACGACTATGGTGATCAGCCTCCAAACTCAAAGACATAGTGGGTGAGGCCACCGATGAAGTGGGAGAGGCAGCCGATAGTCTAGAGCCCGAGGCATAAGAAGAGGGAGACATAGAAGAGGATATGGGTGAACCAGGCGAACCAGGACTTAAGGGACCCACCGATTGAGTACTGCTGCTACTGCTCAATTTTTCCTTTCTCGGTTTGCGTGGTTTTGCCGAATTGCTGGTGGTGTTGGTGGTAGTAGTGCCAATACTGGAACTGGGCGATTGTGGTGAATTTGGTCCGGAATTGGTTTCCGCTCCCGATGAAGTCGAAACCGAAGACACTGCCCCATTACCATTGGCCTCTTCTTCATCATCTGGCATTTCATTGGCATGACCCTTAATATGGGCCTCCATTTCCTTCTTGCTCTTAAACGTTTCATCGCATATAGTGCATTTATAACATTTCGAACCATAGTGCTGCACACGATGCAATTTCAAAACATGATTATAACCAAAATCACGGAAACAAATATCACAATGATATGGTTTCTCGCCCGTATGCGTGCGTGAGTGCACTTTCAATTGTTTCGAACAGGTAAAACCCTTACCACAACCTTCTACCGGACATTTATATGGTTTTTCACCGGTATGCGTGCGCATGTGTATCACTAATTGACCGGATTGTATGAATGTCTTATCGCATACCGAACAATTGTGCGGTCGTTCACCTGTGTGTATGCGCATGTGACGATGCAATTTGCCCGAATGCTCAAAGGCACGACCACAGACATCACACTTATAAGGACGTTCTTTGGTGTGTATGCGGCGATGTACTTGTAGATTCTCTTTGACACTAAAGAGTTTGTGACAGAACTCACATTCGAAGGGTCTTTCGCCAGTATGGGTACGATAATGACGAATCTGGTAAAAGAAACGAAAAAGAGATAATGTTAATACATTAAAAGGAAGAGTGTCTAAAATATACTCACCAGTCTTGCAGGCACAGCAAATGTCTTTTGACAGACATTACACTGATAGGGATCACCACCGTTAGAGGCCGCATTAGCATTGGGCTTTATCTGTGGTGTCTTTGGTATGCCCATGGGTAAGCCAGCCTCATTTAACTCTACTCCTCCTGCCAATGGTGGCGAATTGGCCCCATTATTTGTGGCATTGCTGATTAAACTTAAATCACCATTTTTAGCGTGAGACTTGGTATGGGAAGTATGAGCCGATTTACTACCAAAAGTCATGCCACATTGTTCACATTTAAATTGTGGTTTATTAGGATTTGTTTTACGTCCTGGCGTTGTAGTGGAAGTAGGAGTACTGCTGCTAACATTATTTGTAGATGTTGGTATTGAATTTGGCGTTGTTGTTGTTGTTGCTGTTGTTGAAGGTGATGTTAAGGAAGCAGGTTGTGTGGTGGCATATAATGTTATACCCGATGGTAATAATTCTGTTTTAATATTTGTTAAATATTGTGGTGGTTGCTGTTGTTGTTGCTGATGATTTGTTGTTGTAATACTTGTTGTAGAGTTAATGTTGTGTGACGACATTTGTTGCTGTTGGTGATGTTGTTGTTGTTGCTGTTGTTGCATTGCTGTTATATTAACATTATTAAGTATATAACTATTGTTAGTTATGGTATGATGTTGTTGTGGATCATGATTATTTCTGAGAGGTGCACACAGTTGTGCCTGACTAGGTTGTTCTGATTTTATAATTAATGGTGTTGATTGGTAATAAACCATTGTGTTGTTTTGTGAATCTGGAAAGAAGAGGAAGGCAAGAATGGAAATTAGTTATAAATGTTATATAATTAGATTAGTAATACTTAAGTCAACAGTCTACTCTATAATCTAAACTTAAGCCAAAACTATATTCTATTCCATAGCCCAGACTCTTATTAAGTCAATGTCCAAACTATATTTTATTCTATTCTCCAGTCTATTGTCCAGTATATAATTGAGACTATAAAGTAGTCTAAAGTCTAGTCTATAGTCTAATCTATAGTCCAGACTATAGTCTAATCTATAATCCGGACTATTGTCTAGTCTATAGTGCAGACAATAGTCCAGTCTATGGTGTAATCTAAAATCTAGTATATATTCCAGACTATAGTTTAATCTATAGTCCAGAGTATAGTCTAGTCTATAGTCCACACTATAGTCTAGTTTATAGCCCACACTATAGTCTTGTTTATAGACAAAAGTCTGGACTATAGACTAAACTATAGTCTGGATTACAGACAAGACTATAGTCTGGACTATAGACAAGACTATAGTCTGAACTATAGACTAAACTATAGTCGGAACTATATATTACACTATAGTCTGGAATATAGACTGGCCTGTTGACTATAGTCTGGACTATAGACTAGACTATAGTCTGTATTATGGACCATACTATAGTCTGGACTATATACTAGACTATAGTCTGGACTATAGACTGGACTAAAGTCTGGACTATAGACTAGACTAAAGTCTGGACTATAGACTAGACTATGGTCTGCACTATAGACTAGACTATATTCTAGGCTATTGTCTGGACTATAGACTAGATTATAGTCTGGACTATAGACTAGACAATAGTCTGGGCTATATACTAGACTATAGTCTGGACTATAGACTAAACTATAGTCGGGACTATTTATAACACTACAGTCTGGAATATAGACTACACTATAGTCTTGACTGTAGACTAGACTATAGTCTGTACTATAGACTAGACTATAGTCTGGACTATAGACTAGACTATAGACTGGACTATAGACTAGACTGTAGTCTGGACTATAGACTAGACTATAGTCTGGACTATAGACTAGACTATACTCTGGACTATAGACTAGACTATAGTCTGGACTATAGACTAGACTATAGTCTGGACTATAGACTAGATTATAGTCTGAACTATAGACTAGACTATAGTCTGGACTATAGACTAGACTATAGTCTGGACTATAGACTATAGTCTCTTCTATAGACTTTTATCTAGAGTATAGTCTATATGGAAACTAGACTATATGGAAACTAGACTATAGTGTGTAATTTAGATTACACTATTTTCTTGACTATAGAATGGACTGTAGGCTAGACTATAGTCTGGACCATAGACTAGATTATAGTCTGGTTTGTATAGAATACTATAGTCAGGACTTTAGCCTAGACTATAGTCAGGACACTCTAGACTAAGCTTTAGTATTGTTAGTGTAGTCTAAGTCCACACTAAGTCCAGATTATATTCTAATCTATAGTTTAACTTACATTCTACTTTATCTTCTTAACAAAAGTGTTATCTCCTTTTCTTTTAAATCCCTTAAATATTCACAATTCAAAAAACTTGATGTCACATATTTATCCTCGATAAAACTCAACCCCTAAACGTTACCAGGTTATCTGGAAAGAAACAACCTTATGACTTCTAATGAAAACAAATATAGAAAACAAAGGAAAATCAAATGTAAGATAGATAAATATAACCAACATATTATTAACCCAGATAGCAAAGTGTTAAGTTTTCAAAAAAAAATATATTAAATGAAAAGTGAAAATGCACTTGAATTCAACCCTTAAAAAAAACACGCAACCTAAGTGCAATCGAAACCAGCGGAAACCACCCCCTTGAGGAAAATACAAAACTTTTTTTTACTTTAACGACCTAACTAGGCAACGTTAATATTGTCCATAAAAATAAAATTTATTTGTTTCGACACCCAAGTCCATAATTTGAATATGCAGTTTTTCCTAATACAAGTACGACATTGAAAAAGGGGTGTAAAAGCTTGTAAAAAGAAAAACTACGCAGTATTTTTTTAGATTTTCATGAATGGAAATTAAGGGATGGGTACATTGTTTGTAATTTGTTTATTTATTTTCTTTTTTATGTGGAATGGGGTGGTTGATTTTTTTATATATATGCAATTGTTAAAATGTTTTTACTTTCTGGGAAAAACTGGGTTTTTTTTTGATTGAGTGGGTTTTATGGAAAAGTTTTTCCTAGTGAAAGTGGTTATAAATAGGGGGTTTTTGTGTTAAGAGTTTGAGTTTTTTTCCAATTTTTTGGGGAGGGTGGTTTTATCTATGCTTCATTAGATTTTTCTCTGCTTTAAAAAGCTTTTTTTATTATTTTGTTTGAACTTTTTTTTTTGTTTATTTTTGTTATTGTTGTAGTTTTTATATTGATTTACTGTTATGACCGGCCGGCATTTTGTTTTTGGCCACTATGTTGACAGCAAAATATTTACAAAATGGCGTTTGCTAATAAACACAAAGTTGTGTGGGGGGACTAGTCAAATTGGGAGTGGGGGCTAATAAAGAATTAGAATAATTTTTGTTAAATTAAGCGAATATATGAAATATTCTAGAGGAAACCTTAATGAAAAGTGTCAAATTCTTGACTATAGACTAGGCCATATACTAGACTATAGACCAGACTAGACTATAAACTAAACTAGACTTTAGACTATGCCATAGACTAAACTATAGACTAGACTATAGATTAGACTATATATAGAATATAGACTAAACTATAGACTTTAGACTATGCTGTATACTAGGCTATAGACTAGACTATAGATTAGACTACAGACTAGACTATAGACTAGACTAAAGACTAGACTATAGACTAAACTATGGACTAGACTATAGGCAATACTATAGACTAGACTATAGAATAGACTAGACTATAAAATAGACTAGACTATAGACTAGACTATAGACTAGACTTTAGACTAGATTTTAGACTAGACTATAGACTAGACTATAGACTAGACTATAGAAGAGACTATAGACTAGACTATAGACTAGACTATAGAGTAGGCTATAGACTATACTATAGACTAGACTATAGACTAAACTATAGACTAGACTATAGACTAGACTAAACTATAGACTGGACAATAGACTAGATTATAGACTAGACTATAGGCAAGACTATAGTGTAGACTATTGACTAGGCTATAGACTAGACTATAGACTAGACTAGACTATAGACTAGACTATACACTAGACTAGACTAGACTATACACTAGACTAGACTATAGACTAGACTATATACTAGACTAGACTATAGACTAGAGTGTAGACTAGACCATAGACTAGGCTACAGACTAGACTATATACTGCACTAGAGTCTAGACTATAGACTAGACTATAGAATATACTATATACTAGACTATATAGTAGACTATAGACTTAACTATAGACTAGACTATAGACTACACTATAGATTAGGCTATAGACAGGACTACAGACTAGACTATAGACTTAGCTATAGACTAGACTGTAGACTAGACCATAGACTAGACTAGACTATAAAATAGACTATAGACTAACCTACACTATAGACTAGAGTATATACTAGAGTATATACTAGACTATAGACTAGACTATAAACTGAACTATAGACTAGACTGTAAACTAGACCATTGATTAGACTATAGACAATACTATAGACTAGACTTCAGAATAAACTATGGACTAGACTATGGACAAGACTATAGACTATATTATAGACTAAACTTTAGACTAGACTGTAGACTGGACTACCAATAGACTATACTATAGACCAGATTATAGACTAGACTATAGACTTGACTATACACTAGACTAGACTATAGAATAGACTATAGACTAGACTATAGACTTGACTATAAACTAGACTGTAGACTAGACTAAAGACTAGACTATACACTAGCCTAAAGACTTCACTATAGACTAGAATATATACTAGAAAGAATATATATCGTAAGTTAGCCGTTTAGGAACAATATCCTCCTTAGGAAGAGCATTTTTGCACTTTGTAGAGAGCTTTGTTTTTGGGAGTGTGTCCATCTCGATAGCCGATTAGGATTTGACAGAACTTTTCTCTTGCCCAGTGAGCCCATCGACTGGTTTTGCACCTAATCGATTTACTAGCCCATAAGTAGAACCCACTTTTACAACCTTCTATGAAGGTTTTTGCTCATTTGAGACAGTTTTTCTCCAACTCTATCAGATCATTGACCGGTTTCGCAACTAATCGATTAGTTTGCCTAAAGGTAAAGGGGAACTATAGAGGTACTCGGTTTATAAGAGCCACATCATAACAAAGGAAGCCTAACGTCTGAGAACTACGAAAAATTCATTAAAACGAACTTCATATATTATGGTTTTCTGAATAACTAAAGTTGGTAAAGCTTTAAGTGAATAGCTTGAGATCCAATTTTCAGTGACCAGATAAAGAGAAACCTTTTTCTTCTGTTAGTTTCCATTTTAAATGTAGAAAAGTGCAATTCTCACGTAAACCAGTTTTAAATTTTTAGAATGATTAAGTTTTAGAAATATCTATCTACGCAGAGAAATCTTTCTAAGAAAACTTCGGTCAATGACCGTAGGTACTTTTCCAACCTGCGCACTAAAAAGTTTTGGAAAATTTTTCTTAAAACTTGTTCTGTTTTGTTTTGGGATTTTGTTAAGAATATCGAAAATTTTTGAATGAAAATTCCCGAAATCTGATTAAGAAGATATGTTTGGGAAATAATTTTCTTAATTTCCCATTATATGGTTAATGGAATCAGTTCTCAATTTGATTTCAAAGAAATTTCATTGAATGAAAAAAACTTTCTGGAAAGCTCCACGGTCAATGACCGTCTATTCCGACCTGCGCACTTTAGATTTATTTATCGTTTTTTTCCTCTCTAGAGAAACCTCTCCATAAAGAGTAATCGGTTACTCACTACCACGGCTAGCTTTTGAGTATTTTGTTTCTCCTCAGAGAATAGTAGTTGTTGTTTCTAGCTCTCACTTTTTAGCGAGAAACCGCAAAAGTTTTGATTAGATATATATATATCCGGTAAACAAAATGCATTTATCACTTTATTACATAGTATTTTAACAGTTTATTCTCTCTCTCTCTCTCTCCCTAAAGAACAGTTTAGTAGATTACTCTTTTCACGATTTAGTTGCCTATATAGAGAAATCTATTTGTAAAATCTGTTTAATATTTAAAAAATTTTTGCCAAAGAACCGTTAAAGGTTTGAATATTTATAACGTTTAAACGAAATGCATTTATTGGCCGATTAGTCTCTCTATTTGAAAGCGAAGAACCATTTCAAACTAGAAACAATTTTGGTCGACAAAATTAGTTTATAAAGGGAATAAGATCCGTAATACTCTTACGATTTGGTATAAAAAAAATTTGCGATATATAAACTCACCCTTTTCATTTTGTTTAACCAATTTTTTGGTTATTTTCACCGCCTTATTAGGCGTTAATTGCACTAATTCTGTACCCGATTTCGATAAAACATCTTTAATCCAATTTTGTTCTTGGGGCCAGGGTTTGCTACCGTTATTAGCCGTTGCAGCAGTATCAGACATTATTATTATATTAAAACTTATTAAATATAATTTGTACTTTTTTTTGTAAATTTATTGTATAAAAATTTTTTTTCTTTAAATTTTCATCAGTCACTAGGATTTACTTTAATCAGTCTTTTAAAAATTGCTTAATAATTTTAATAAAACATTTTTATTTTAAATCAATATTTTGGTTTTCTTTAAAATGATTTGTTTTTTAACATGTTTTTTTAATAATTTCAAAATTTTCTTTAAATCTTTGGTTTGTTGATCCAAAGGTGGTGAAAAGCTACTGCTGCAGTTGTTAGTATAAGTTTTAGAGGGTGAGCTGCTGCTGGTGGAAGAGGAGGTGGTGGCGGAGGAGGAGGAAGTAGAGGTTTTCACTTTTTTATTCATACGCATTTTTTTAAATGATTTTAATATATCATTCATATTTATTAGAAATTCATTAGGATTTTGTTGTATACGAGGCATTACATGGCAGTAATTGTAAAAAAAATTATTCCAAAAATTTTTATTATTTTATTAATAAAAACACATTTTTTTATTAAGTTTATGCACTTTTTCAAAAATTTTAAAAATTTTCTTTGTTTCCCCCCCTTTTTCAAATACCAAATTTTCCGTTTTCTTGTCTCTGGCGTTTATTAGAAGTTCAATGTTCGCTTGTAAGTACCCGACTGTGGTTGGAGTTTTTCAAAAATCTTTTACTAACCACCGAAATGTTAGAAATATTATGGGTTCTTATCAATTCTATTCAAAATTCTAACTCAAAAATATAAATATCCCTCTCAGCTGTTATTTTCTAATGCTTCTCACTCTCTTATAAAGAAAAAAACCCCTTGTTTAGTAATTTTCTAAACAAATTTTGACTCAAACTAAAAATTCTAATAAGAATTTTTGGAAATATTGTTTTGAAAAAGAAAAGTGTCAAAAAAAAAGAGAGGAGA